GGTATTCGTGATCAAGGTAAATGTGGTATATCATGGGCATTATCAACTGTTGATGTTGCTTCTGATCGTCTTTCACTTGTTGCAAATATCAAATGGAAAAATGAACCATTAAGTGTACAAAATGTTTTATCATGTACTGATCCTGAAGCTAAAGATGGTTGTCAAGGTGGTCGTGTTGCATATGCATGGGGTTTTGTTAAAGATCGTGGTGTTGTTACAGAAGCATGTTATCCATATGAAAGTGGTACAACAGGTAATATAACTGAATGTAAACTTCATTTATCTGATAGTGATTTACAAAATATTGCACAACATCGTAAAGTTACAAATATTGATTGTCCATCACATACACGTGGTGAACATTTTAATTTTGGTCCTGCTTATCGTATTCGTGATGAAGCACGTTCAATTAAATATGAAATACATTTTCGTGGTCCTGTACAAGCAACAATGCGTGTTACACCAGAATTCTTCTTATATAAATCAGGTGTTTATCGTTGTGGTGGTTCAAGTTATGATCATCAAAATCCACGTTATGCTAATTTGGCAGGTTATCATTCAATTCGTTTACTTGGTTGGGGTACAAGTGTTGACCCAAGTACACAAAAAGAAGAAAGTTATTGGATTGCAGCTAATTCATGGGGCACAGGATGGGGTGAACATGGTTATTTTCATATTCGTTTTGGTGATTGTGAAGTTGAAGAATCAGTTATTGCTACATATGGTAAATCAACTGAAGTTCGTAAACAAAAGAATAAACGTCAATAAAACATTAAATTATTATCAATTATATAGACTTTTTTTTCATTTTTTTCCTTTTTCTTTTTTTTAAATTTTATTTATGCAGTGGTGCTTTTGAACAGTCAACATGAGTGTTGTGTATCCTACCGTACATTTTGTCCTATTATAATTAGATTTTGATATAAACAGGATTTATTCTCTTACATACATTATGCATATATCATGAATTTATGATTAATATTTTCTTTTGGTATTTTTTGATTGGCATAAACATGCTGGTTATATAGATTTCGATAGTTAGTACAATTGAAAATATAATAATATTGATGAAGGACAAATACAACATTAGATTGGATTGAGTAGAAAAGTAATTTGATTTTGTTTTTATCATTAGCAGAGAAAAAATATGATCTTGTTAAATTCTTTTACATTACTTATTTTAATCTAAAATCGTCTATTATAACAATAATACATATTTGTCAATTATCTCACGCATAACATGGGAAAAAATATTACTTCTCATATTTCTTCTAAGTCAGGCACATGTTTATGTATGTGTGATATGGGTAAGATTAATCTTATAATAGCGATAGTAACTTATTATTACTATTATGATTATTATTGTTGTTGTTGTTGTTATTATTTGTTACATTCGTATTTCTATCCGTCCTTCTTCATTTTATATTGATTTAATCGTCCTTGCTACAGTTACCGCTATTCATATTCTTTATATTAATTTCATACGCTCAAACCGGTTTTCTTAATAGCAATTTTACCGGTTTGAATGCTATATCATAGAGAGAAATATATATGGCTTATTGACAAGCATTGTATATTTAGACTGCTATTGATCAGTTGTAAGTATACATTTTCTTTCACCAAGTTATTGTCTCTGTATTATGAATAGAAGAAAAAGAAATTTCAATTAGCTTCAATGAATTCAATAAGTAGATGGGTTTATTTTATTTTTTTTTTTTGAAGAATGTATATATAGAATACAAAGTCAGAACGAAAAACAAAGAAAGAAAAGAAAAATGTCAAATTATAATAGAAAAAAAAAACTCTTCAACGCTCTTAAAAGAAAAATATTGAAAACATATTGTTTTGTCCTTAAAAATTCAAGTATACAGTATCAAAATAAAATAAATCACCGTTTGTTTTTTTTTTAATCATCAAGTTGACAAAGTGAAGCAACACCACGATTTATCCAATGTCGTTTTGATTTATCAGATGGAAGCTCAATTAAAAGAACGAAATTCGTTGAATGACCCGTTGTACTAAGTACACCACGTCGGGCACTTGTCTAAAAAACAATCATAAATAAAATAAAATAGAAATAAATAGAAATTCTTTACTTTATACACAGGACATGAATAGGTATTAATTTTTGCAAATTTCTCTATATTACCAGGTTTTAACAATATAATTGGAAGAGTATCGAATAAAACTTTTGGTAAAGATTCATCTAGTACACGACTTTTTTTATTCCATCGAGCACCTTCAAGATAAAGACCTTTTATATATGCACCATCCTCAGGTTTATGATTCATATCATTATCTTCTTCAAGTATATCAAATTCAAATGCAAGTTTATCAATTGGAATTGTATATTTTCGAGCATAATTTTGAAGAACACCTAAATATTAAAATATGTAGAAAATCATGCGTTTTTTTCCCCTTAAATGAACTAACCGGTTAAAAATGATTGCGTGAAGAAGAAACCACTTATCCAGAATACATGCGGTGGTCCATTTTTAATCCATGAATTTAAAAATTTTAATCTAAATAAATAAAATTAAAAAATTGAAAATATATTTAAATTTTTTTTACCGAGCCATTAAATCATTTAAATAACTTCCTAATGGTTTTAATGATGGATAAGATTTAGCAGCCCATGCATTTGGAACTTTACCAATAAACATTGCATTAAAAACTTCTTCAAGTTCAGATGACATTAATACAAGACCTTTAATTGCTTTACGTAAATCAGCTAAAGTCTTTCGAACTTCCGATGTTAAACGATTATAACGAATAATTTCTTGTCGTAAAACGGTATTCATTGATTCATTGTAAAGAACTGGATATTTTTTACCAATCTATAAAATTCATATAAACAAAATTAATAATAAAAAAAAGAATGTCTATATTTACAGTTTCAGTATCAAAATCAGCTGGTAATTTACTAAGAATGTCGGCAGCTAATTCATCAATAACAACGGATGGTGTTCGTCCTTCACCACCAGATGTTTGTTTGGGTAATGTAAGAAGGATGTTATCAAATAACTAAAAGAATAAAAACTAAATTGAATTTTTCATATTTTCAATAATTACTGTTTGAGTTTCTTGTTGATCTTTTGTAATATCAGCATTTGAATGAAAACCGTAGACTTCAGGTAAGGGATTTAATGGTAATGTTCGAATATAATCAACATAAGTTTGATGTGGACCATCTTGTGGAACAAAATAAGTACCACTTTCAGAAAATCTAAATATAAACATTCAATTGTTAGATTTTTATTTCAATGAATTATATATTTTCTTAATCAAAGAAAAAAATTTCTTTTTATTGCGGAATTATGATAAAAAAAAATGTTTTTTGTTCTAGATTATTTTTTAACCAACTTGTGCCCATGATGGTCGTTTTTTAAGTGAAATTGATGAACGTTTTCCAACAGTTGCCCAACTCGGACGTTTGAAACGTTTACGAGAATTTGATAAACTTTTAAATGGATAAAAATTTGTTGATGGTACATTAGCAGCAAGTTGATCAAGTGAATATTCTGTATTATCATCATCATTTGATGTATCTGTAGATAATACTCCTTGCATTTCATTCTCATCTAATTCACATAGACATGAATTAGTTAATGTTAATGAGAAGAAAATTAATAGAAAAGTTAAGCATAAAAATGTTTGTTGGATCATTCTCGTCGTAGTTATTTGATGAATGTTCGTTCAAGAAAATGATGGAAAGAAATATTTTAAGAGAGAGAGAAAGTTATTAATTATTTATGAATACATTAGACGAACAGATCATCTGGTTATTATATCTTCAAAACCATTCGATGACATCTTAAAAGTGTGTTATTTATGTAGTTGGGAAATGATTTTTCTGTTGAAGTAATTGTTAGCAAGAAAATCGATTTCGATTAATTTTCATCTGAATATATGAATATGCATAAATAATTATGACAAATTCCAGATACTTCATCTTGTTTATTTCAATTATTTTTTCTTTTAAGTACACTCTATCATACTATGATTAAAATAAATTAAAATTATTCTTACTGATAATTTTCTTTTTCGACGACATCAGCATTAATACAAACAGATAATAATGAAAGAAGTAAACGACGATCTTTATCATCTGTTACACGACCACCATAATTACATTCGCCAAATAAATATGATATCTAATAATAATATTTTAGATAAAAATATACATAGAAACAAACATACTGCTTCTAATGGTACATCTTCATATTCATTAAGAAACATTTGAAGTTGTCGAAGAGATATTCGAAGATCGGATTCACTGAAATATAGTTTGTGAAATAATTTACTTTCTAATGATAGTATCAGATAACTTACTCAAAGAAATATGGAATGTTCCCTAAAAATTGAAAATAATAAAAATGATTTTGAAGCTAATAATTAAAAACAGATTCTTACATCCTAATGGACCAAATTGTCTTCGTTCTTGTACAAGACCATGAAAAAAACAGAGACCAAATAATAATTTTCTCCATCGTTCTGGTTTATTACAAGCATTAAAAAATGTTTGATCATTAATAGGATCATTTAAATAAGAACGAAGTAAATTAGCTCGTAAACCTTTTGGACTTTCATTTGTCATTTTAATACCATTTTGTAATATAGTTACAGGAAATAAATCTGATGGATATGATGTTAACCAAAGACGAAAATCATTATGAACTTTGCCAGGTACTAAAAGTTCTTCACATATTCGTTCTAATTTTGGCATCCAACTAGCAGCTAAATGGCAATTTTGTAAAACAACCCAATTGCCTTTTTCTACACCTTCAGTTATTAATGATTGTGCATAAGGACCCTAGACGAAAAGAATAGAATAAAAAAAGAAAATTCATATTGAAACTTTATACTTGTCCTTGACCAAGTGAAACAGTTTTAATTCTTTCATCAAAAACTCCCAATGTTTCACCGAATTTAAGTAATGCCATCATAGGATCAGCACCTGGAGATAAGACAAATATCAATGGTGTTGTCGGTATTGAATCTGCATATGAACCAGGTAAATCAAATGTGGGTGGTTCAACAAACTGTTGTCCCATATGTTTAATAATATATTGTTGTACAGCTGGTACCATTTTATCTGGACGAAATAAACGTAATACAAGTAATCTAAATAAAATTTATTATTAAAAATGAACAAACTATTTATAAAACAAAATACTTTTCTAATGAATTAAGATTATTATAATCATCTGGATATGCTTGTTCGTGTGGTGTTGGAGAATCATAAAGTACTTTCCATTTATCTTTATGTTCTTTAACATGTGCCATTAAACCTCGAAAACTAGGCATATCTGATGCACGAACAATTTCCGACCATGATTTATCATTTAACCAATCCGGTGCTGGATTTGGATATGGATTATCTAAACCGACACCGCCAGTTAATAGAAAACGCCATATATTATCATCGACATTTCCTTGGCCTTTTGCTAATTGTATACAAAGTATAAATGAAAATAAAAGTTTATGACGTTCTAATAATGATCGACAAACATTTCGATAAATTGATTCGGTAAAATGTGCATTTAATTTTTGTATACGTTCTTGTAGATCAGCTGATTTTTCACTATTTTCAATTGACATTACATATAAATTAATAAACCAGACAAGTGAATATTGATACATCTATTTAGAATTTTAAAAAAGAAAAGATAAAAAAAGTCGAATATTATTATAGTTTTTCTTACGGGATCAATGTTTGCTAAATCGGATATACAGAAAAATAAAATTGTTGAATGTTTAGCAACAGGTAAATATCCTTGACGAGTAAATTCAATTTCTTTTTGTGTTTCTTCAGCTATTTTTTGTTTCGCTTCAATTTCTTCCGAGATTTTCTTTGATGAAGATAAGATTTGTATAGCTGTTTCATTTTCAAGTAAATTACCCTATGAAAATAATTCATTTTATTTCTAAAGATGGAAAAGATAGATTATATTTACAGCTGATGAAGATAAAACTTCAAGAATTGTATCTTCAATTTCTTTTTGTTTACGTTTATTTTCAGCTGATTGAATAATTAATGTATTTTTTTGTTCTTCAAGTTCAGGTTTTTCTTTCGCAGCAACAATACTCAATAATTGATCTTGTAAACCTTCAGCTGTGATCATAAAATTAATTAATGTTACTTTAACAGATATTTCTGGTAAATAATGTGGATTACGTAATTTTGTAGTAATATAAAAGCGAAAATCACGTGAATATTCAATAACATTTTCACCAAATTTAATGTACTAAACAAAGAAACGTTTACAATCAGATATGAAACATAAAGATGTAAAGCTTTCATACTTCTACTCCTTGTTGTTTGAATGTTGCTTTTAATAAAACATTATCTAAAACTGGATCTAATTCTTCGTTAACATTTTCTAATAAAATTGGAGTACCAAATTGTATAGCATTTTCTAATGTTCTCGCATAAGTTGGATCTTGTAATTTAACAACTGCTAAACGATTATCTCTTTCCATATTTTTAATCCATTTATTAGCTTGGGATTGAGGATCGATACAAAGTGGCCAACGACGAGCATTTGTTGCTATAATACCATTATCAACTGAAAATGAATCAACAGGTAAACCTGCAATTTGCCATGCACGAATTTTAACTGCATCTCCAAGTGTGAAATTCAATGAGAATACATCGGAACATGGAATACGATGTGCTTTACATAATTCAATCCATTGACGAACACAATCCTATGAAGAAAAAAAATTTTTATCTTGGAAAAAATGAAGTTATTAATAAAACTAACTGTTCGATAATTAACAGTAAATGGTCCAAGATAAGCAACAACACCCGCACTTAATAGAATATCACCTGTTAATTGAATATATCGTTCACCTAATTTTCTGGCTTGATCAGTCCAACGATCTTTTTCTCCTCCAAGACCTTCAATAAGTTGTACAGCACGTGTTAATTTTTTCTCACATAAATTTCTTTGGTCTTCTAATTCATTTTTTTTCTGAACATTTGTTTCATATTCATCAGTTAAAGCTTTTAAACGTGCTTCTAATTCTTGTACTTGTCGTTGTTTTTCTTGTAATTTACTCATTTGTTCTGATAAAGCTTCTTCAGCTTCATTTAATTTTAATCGTTTTGGTTGAACGACTTTTATAACTCGATCATATTTTTCGAGTGCAAGAATCCATTTACATAAACCCTCACAAGCAGCTGATACTTTCGAAATTTCAGCTGCTGTAAATGAAGGATTATGTGCAAAACGATCGCGAATTTGTTTTATAACTTGTGGTTTAATATTATCTTTATCATAAGTTTGTAAATTCTTAAGAAGAAAAAAAAATAAAGAAAAATATTTGAATAGAAGAAAAAACTTACTTTACGAAAATCCATATCAGCTAAAAGTCGAACTGATGTTGGCCAATAATCTAAGATTGGCTTTTGTGTTGATGGATCCATTTTACGTTCAGGAGTTTTTTCAAGCATAACACATACAGCTTCCATAACAAGTTTAACACCAGCTGGAGGATTTTTCATTGCTTTAACAATAACCAATTCAGAAGGTTTCAATGTATCTTTAGTAAACATATAAAATTAGTTTTTTAAATAAATATAAATAAAACTTACTAAGTGCTTCTTCAGCTTCTTTAAGAGCTGGTAAGGCTTCTGTCAATTCATTTTCACATTCATCTTTAATCGACTGAGCTTTAGCAGCTGCTTCATTCGCAACAGCTTCATCAGCAGCAACAATTTCTTTTCGTGCTTCAACTTCTGCTGTTTCTTGTTCAATACGAATCTATTAAAAATGAATTGATTTAATCTTTTTCGAAAGAAAATATATTTTACCATGAGGTTTTCAACAACAATAGCAGTTTCTTTTAATTTCGGTTGTAAATCAATTAATTCAATTTTCATAGCATCAATAGCAACACGTGCCAAATCAAGTTGTTTAAGACCATTTAAATAATTATCTTTTAATGTTTGAATTTCATTACGTTTAATTCGTAATAAATCTAAATAATTTAAAAGTAATAACGAACATAAAAATTAATTAACTTATTTTTTACCTTTAAATGTTAAAATCAATTCTAAATAAGATGTGGGTGTTACATAATTATGTCGAGATAATTGTTGAAGAAATAATTCAGATAATACTCGAATATTTTCATGAAATGTTTTACACATAACCTTAATAAATATTATTTAAGAATTGAAATAATTTTTTGTTCGAAAATCTTACAACACAATTTGTACGTATGTCATCTTCTAGATCAACTTCTTCTAAAAATTTCTTTGCAACCATTTCAAGTGCATCTTCCGGCCATGATGTAAACCAATCGATAGTACAACAATTAATTAATGATGGAAACATACGAAGACGATTACGAAAAGCATCACCAATGGGTGAAAATGCTAAGACAATATGAAGAGCTGATCGAACACGTTCAATAAAGAAATTATATAATGCCATTGGTGTTGATTCAATTTTACGACCTAATTGTCGAGCGATATTTTGCATTTTATCACATATTTCTGCTCGTTCATCAGCAGGAAATAAATTTGGAATATCAGCGGTATTTAACATCATGTTTATATCTTCGATAAATGATTCATCTTTCTAAAAAAAAGTACAAAACAAATTTGAATCAAAATTCAACAAACAAAATCTTACAATTTGAGAATCATTGAACAGAAAAACAGTGCTTTTGCCTAAAAAATAAATATTTAAATTCATTTAGAATAATATTTGACTTTCGATTCGGTTTCCTATAGATACTATCAAGACTAGTAAATCAATGGAAATAGGGATGAACAACATCGAGACAATTAACATTTTTACAAGTGCAATAACATTTATTGAACAAATACCTGAAGTAGAGGGACCTGGTGCGCCTCGCGCATTCCCCTTAGCTGGTGCTCCTTAATAAAATATATTCTTCCTTATATAACTCCTCATTCAAAAACAAAATCTTCATTTTTCTTTACCTTCAACACCACTTTTTCGAAATAATTTTCTAATATCATCTCGCCATTCATTTTTTCCATAAGTTCTTGTTATTTCAATTTGAAATAATTCATAATCTGCCATATATGCTGCCATTTTACATGATGAACTCTATAACAAAAAAATAACTTCACTGATGAATACATTGAAAATTTTTGATCATACTCGTCCACTTCCACCAATTCCAACAAGTAAAGCATGTCCTTGATCTTGTTTAAGTACACGTGATACACGCGAAATATGTTCAATAGCAAATTGAAACATAACAAGTTGCATTGGACTTTTACTAACAGCATTATAATCATCTAAATATGATTCCATTACTTTTTGTAATTGTGATAAATCAGTTATTTCATCATAAGGTTTTGGATCAGCATCTGGTTTAATATAATCTCCGAACATTAATGCACGAATCTAAAGAAAAAGAAGAAGATAAAAATATAGATATTTGATAATATAAATTGACATGTTCATCTTTAAGTTGTTTTGGTGGTGGTGCATTTGATGGTATAAGATGTTCAAGTAGATTATTCATATTTTGTTTTAATGTTTCATTCATAACGTCTTTAACCATGGAAAAAAATGTTGATCTATCTTCATCATCAATAAGACGATCATAGAATACTCGATAAACTTCATGTACCCATAAACGATATAGTTTTTTTTCTTCTTTCATATGAGTAGGTGGAGCAAGCAGAACTCCTCTAACGACACGTGAAAAATCACGTAAATTAAATATATAATGAGATTTTTGTGGTGTTGGTAAAAATTGATCACAAGCTTTTTTATAGATTGCCATAGTTGCTTGAATAAGTAAACGACCAACGCGTTGAAATGAAGCTTCAAAACCACGAGCAAAATGCCAATCAACAATTGATGTAAAGATTTTTTGCATTGTCTCATCACTAAATGAATCTATTGATATTATATTACAATGACGAGAAAATCGACCAGTGATAGTATTACGACCACCACCTGGTGGACCCATTGCACCAAGAAAGAGCTAAAAAAAGAAGAGGATTTATTATGTTTATTTTAAAATCAAATCAAATGATATTTACAAGATCAAGAAGTGTTATCACTGATGTATCTTTACGATCAAACCAATAACCTTGATCAAGCCATTGTCGAAGTAATTCAACTGGCGGTTGACTACCATATTTTTCTTTAGCTGGCATATTTAAATCATCAACAAAGATAATACATTTTTTACCCATCGGTGGACCATAAACACCTTTACGACGTCTAGAAAGTATTTCATTTAATATTTCAAGATATTATCAAGAATAATTATTTACCGATCAAGTTTACTCATTATAGTATCCATTGTTTGATTTGATGATGTTCGTGCAGAAAAATTAACAACATTAGCAACAAATCTATATCAAAACAAAGTAAATCATCAAATCTTTTAAATACTAAACATACCTTTCTTTTGGTAATCGAACGAGAAAATAATTATTAATGGCTGATTTACCAGTACCTAAATATCAAAAAAAAAGGTATTGTATAAAATCAAAATCTTTTAAGTGTTCATTTACCAGTTGGTCCAACCAATAAAAGTGGAATATTATGTGTAAGAAATGTATCCAAAAAGAATGTTTGTCGTGCTGTTTCATCTGTTTGTATAATTAAATCAACAACTTTGATACCTTCAGTAATAGTTAAATCTTCTTTCGGTATCATATCAGGCCAATCACGCCAATGACCAGCAGCTCGTTTTTCAAAATAAAAATCGAAACATGTATTTCGTTCAGGAAATATATTTGCCTAGAAATAAATATTTATCTTCTAATCAAAATTAATCCTTCTTGTTACTTTAGACAATTTTATTGATTTCGGTTTTGGATAATTTTCATTTGTAGTTGTTAGAAAATCTCGTAAGAATGTATCAAATTTTTTACGACTTTCACCTGTTATTGTACCACCTAAACCCCATATAAGTGAAAATAAAAATAAACCTTGTAACCAAAGTAACATCTAAATGAAGACAAGAGAAATTGTTTTATTAAGTGATAAATTATATCTACGATAAAATTAAACTAAAATTAATAGCATCTAGCATGCATTCTAAATTACAAACCTGGAGCGAATTTACTTGAGCCTAAGAATAAGAATTTGATTTTATTAATCAAATAGAGCAATGAAGAAGTAATCGATAGAGAGAGAGAGCGAATCAATTTATTTTCTTATCTTACAGTTGCTGGACGAATAACTGTTTGTGGAGGGTGCAATAACTCCTGCAGCCATTTCGGCTACAAGTTTTTTTTCGTGTTTTGTTCATTTGTTTATATATTTTTTATCGTTTTTTTACTTACGGTATTTGGATTAACTTCTGGCATTGGTTTTCCATCGGCTCCTGTTGTACCACTGCCAGCAATTTCATCCATTAATGATGTATATAAACGCATAAGACTAAATGTTAAATGTATGGGTGATGTTGATAATTGAAATTTACAATTAAAACGAATAAATTCAAGACATGGATCAACCATCCATTCAAATAAATCATTAACTAATTCACGAGCTTCTTTTGATAATGAAGCAGGTAATTCATATTGAATATACGAATCTTTAAATACACGCCAACCCAATTGATTTGGATCCATATAAATCATACCACAACGTGAAACAGTAGCCGGTGAAGCTTGTTCAAGATCTTCAGGTTCAAAGATTAAATTCATTTGAGCACTCATTTGGATAATTTCACCACTCATAAGACAAAGCTAAAATACATATATACATATAGATCTCTTCATAATATTCGCAATATATGCAACATACTTTTTTATTATCATCAAGTACTGTATTCATATTTTCAATCCAAACAGCATCAACTGGTCCTAGAATAAATAGTCATGTGTGAAACATCAATTTTTCTATTATATATTATTGTTTACCATCAAAAATAATCCATTTTCTATCTAATGATTGACTAGCTGCATATTCTCGAAATGTTGTTGCTAATACACCTAATTATCAAAAACAAAAAAAACGATTTTAATAATCTTTTAACAACAATTAATTACCATCAGTCCATTCATGTGAAACCTCTGCAAAGAAATAAAATAAAAATAAAAATAATCAAATTTTTTAAATTAATCTCACTATCAAATTCTCCGTAAAGTTGTCCAATAGTAACAGATTTTGGATTAAGAACTTTATAAAGAACTTTATGTTCATCCATCATTCCAGCAGCTTCTAAATCTGCTAAAGCTCCAGCTAAAACTTTATAAGCAGATGATTTGCCGCCCATAAATGGTCCGACAATCATAAAACCATGACGAACTAACATCATTTCATAAACCTGTAAACAAAAAACAAATTAAAACAAATTTTTCTTTCGAAGCAAAAAAATATACTTGAATTATTTTATCAACAAAAAATTGTACTGGTTGTAATTTTAATTGTTTAGAATTATTATCAATAGCTTCAAGAAAAACTGCATAATCAGGTGTTGGTAAAATAACACCAGGAAATAGATCACTAATAATGCCTTCGAAAAGTGGAACATCCTATAATAAATATTTATATTTATTTTAAAACTATTTCAATTATTTTTACTTGAGCAAGAAATTTTGGTAAATTAACATCTTTAATAGCACGTAAAACTAATATAGATTCTTCTTCTTCTTGATATTTTTGTTTTAAGTTTCCTGATGCTGTTAAAACTGATTTTACAGCACGCATACCATAATCATAATGATGTTGAGATGATAATTGTTCGGAACATAATTTATATGTTGCAACGATTTTTCCAGATAAAGAACGAGCATCAATAAAACCCATAGAATATAAACTAATTTCACCAATCATTGCCTTGAAACAAAAAAGTAATTGTTTTTATTTTATCTATTCAATTAAACAAACTTACATAATCCGGCACCATCATAGCTACAGTACGAAATAGAACTTTCAAGTTATCGGGTAATTCTGATCGACCAGCATAACCAGGATTCTATAAATAGACAATACAAAAGATGGTTGCTTTTTTTTGGATTAAATTTAAATAAATACCATTGTAATAAATACAGAACATGTTGGATTTAATTCAAGTTCTGTATCTTCAAAAATAAAACGTTTTTGATGAGCAGCGATAGCTCGTTGAATTAATTGAATTTGTTGAGCAACGACTGATAAGACTTCTAATTCAATACGATTAAATCTAAATTATGAATAATAAGAAAATGGAATATTATCACAAACAAACAACAAAGACTTACTCATCAAAACATGCCCATGCACCTAAAATAAATAAAAAAAAAAAATGAATATTAAACAAAAATCTATCTTACCTGATTGAGCTAATCCTTTAAAGAATTTTGACATTGCTTTATAATCTAAACTATCTGAGCAATTAAATACAATACATTGTTTTGCAATAGCTTTTGCTAAATCTTTCGTTGTTTCTGTTTTTCCTGTACCAGCTGGACCTTCAGGTGCACCACCAAGATTCAATCGTAAAGCACCCATTAATGTTCTAAGAAATAAATCAATTCATAGAATAATCTAATCTTTAGTTTTTCTTTTACCTATAACATCGATCTGTTAATGGTGTTATAACTAGACGAGAGGTATTACCCAAATATTCATATGCATATTCAAGTTCAGTTGCTATAAAATTTTAATTTTAGAAAAAAAAAATTTTTTTAATTAATAATATCTTACTAATCATATGAACCATAAGTCTTTCTTCTTCTGTTTTCCAATAATATCTCAATTGTGAAATCCAAATAAATTCTGATGTTTTACTAATTTGTGTTTCAATTAAATTTGTTATAACATCTCTTGCATGTACATCAATAACAATTAAAGCTTCTAATGTTCGTCGTGGACCACTTTCTAGTTTTCCACGAACTAGATTAACTGTATCTTTAATTTCTTCATTTGATTTTAATAGAAATTGTGGTAAACTATTATTTAAAATTGATTCTTCAGCTTCTTTTGTCCAATAAACTTGACTTGCACATATAACAATTTGTCCAGGCCATTCTAAAACCCATTGTTTTCTTTCACGTGATTCATATGCATCTAATGCTTCTTTAATAATCATTCGAATTGATAGCAACATTTGATCTTCAACTTGTATTAACCATTTTTCAACCATACCACGTGCTTTACTTGGATTAACTGTACCTTTAAATTGGACAATTTCTTTTTCAACAGATATCATTGCTGTTATTTCTTGTTGATCATTGAATTCTAAACGATTAATACCTTCGAAACATTTCTTTAAATGTGGTTGAACACGTAATGGATCTTTGGTTTCAGATAAAATTTCGAGTAATTCTTCATTTGATAGAAAGAAGAATCTAATAATCGAAAAAAATTGATTTATGGAATTAATTTTCAAAACAAGAAATTTACCGTGGAAAAAATAATCGTTTCTTTTCTAAATAATTATTTAGACCTCTTTGAATTTCTTCAAGTAAACGAAAGCCTTCACGTAATTTTTCTAACATGCCGGGTTGATCAGTTGCAGCAAGTACATGAGCATCTTGAACAGCATTAATCATAATTTCTTTCCAATGATTATCAACAGTTGCTACAAAGAACAAAAAAAACATAATATATAAAAAATAAATGAATCAATTGTAAAATTTTTACCAAATTTTCTTCCTTCTTCAGGCATTTGATTAACAATATCTTCTGAACCAAATATAGGTTCAAGATAAAGCCATGCTGCTTGAACTTTAAGCCAAATATCAATTGTATCTTGTAATAAAGTAAGTCGATCACACCATGCACGCATATCATCTTCTAATGGACGAATAAATGGACTACCTAACATTGTTTGTGCTTTGATAATATGATCATCTAACATTAATTGAATATCATCAACAGCTGATAATATATATGCTGATGTATCACGATATTTAACAAATGTAAACATCATTTCATTCCATTCATCTTTCATTTTTGACATATTTTTTTCAAGTGAATATTCTTTCGATGCACTACCACCGATTTCATCTAATTTATCAACAAATTTCGCTATACCAAGATCAATCAAATCACTTAATGTTGCTGTTTTATCATGTGGTAAAGCAAGATTAACTAATTGACCCATTTGTGTCCAATGACGTTCTTTTAAACCAGGATTACATATAACTTGTAATAATGGTATATGAACTTTAAATGCATCTATACGTTTTTTTATCAAATCAGCAACACGACGAGGACCAACTTGATCAGTTAAAGTTTTTTGTAATTTATGTACTGTACGCCACATATTTTGTACCTGTTTAAAGAGAAATATTTTTTATTGAATAAAGTTTTCATAAAATTATGAACGTACTTCATCACTGATTAATTCAGCATTAAGACCTAAGAATGCTCCATTCATCCATTGTTCATAAGAAGTATAAAATTGCCAAGCTGTATTCCATAATTTTTCATAGGGATCTTTAGCCGCAATAATTTCTTGTAATTTAGGAAATGGTGTTATATCCCAGCCAAGTAATGATTGATCACGATTGATTTGTTCAGCTTCAGATTTATATTCTTCGACAAGTTTATTAATATCAGCTAATTTTTCAACATTTATACGCATTTCTTCATTACTTAAAACCTATTTTAGAATAATAAAATTAAAAAATAGAAGAAATCAAATCAAATCATATACATCTTTTCGTCGAAAAATATCAACATCTTTATGTAAATCTTCAAGTTTCTTTTCAAATTTCATAATATGATCACGTAAACGTTCTTCAGCTCGTTCACTAAATATTAATAGAATATTTTTATTTTCAAGTCCAACGATTATTATCTTACCGTAAAGCTGCTAATCGACTTTGATTAATTTCTAAAATATTCATAATATTTTCTGGCCAATGAAATACTTGTGCATTCAATTTTAAATCTTCCGGTGGCATAATTGCATATTCCAGTAAAAACATTAATCGATCTTTTGCTTCACCAATTTTATAAGCTAATTTATAAATTAAACTTTCTAATGCTTTACTAAGATAATCAGCTGTTCGAACTAATTCTTCAATTTCATCTGCTGGTACACTAACAGTTGCAGCTATTTCATCATATTCTCTTACGATTTCTTTATTTAATTTTGAATTATCTTCAATACAATGTTGAACTAATTTATCTCGTAATTTTTGTACAATTTTTATTAAATGTTCATTAAGATCTCGGCAATCTAAATTAAATAAATTTAATGGTGCCCATATACGTTTTAAGATAATTTCATTTGCTAATGCTGTTTTTTGTTTTATTTCACTTTCAAATTCATCGAGTGCATGTGGATGTCGAAGAAATTCTGTTGTTTCTAATTCCGATTTATTATTTAATAAATTTTGATATTGATCATATTCATGTAAATATAATTGTGGTCCAGGAAGATTTTTTGTTAATACATAAAGTACACGTTGTGTTGTACTTTCAACAATTTCTTCATCAATACGTACATGACGAAGAAGTAATTTCGTTTTCGAATCAAATAAATGTGATTCAATACGTGGAATATTTGCAGCACCATTAACAATATGTTTTATACAACGTTGAAGCATTGTACGAATATCTTGATTTGTTGGATCAAACGCTATTTTTGGTCCATCAGCATATAAACGTTGAGTAAAAACTGGTTTTCGAGTAAAATCCATGACATTATATTGTGTATTTGGATTTTTAGTTTTAAAATCATTTCCATCAGTATATTCTTCAAAGAATCGTGCAAAATCTTCTAATGAATTATTAACAAGTTGACGTAAATGTGCTGCCATACGAGCACCAACTGTATTAAAAAATGATTCAACTAAATCAGTATTACCATCATCGGCTGTTGGAACCATCGATTCCCAATATTGACGATTTTCAGCAACTAATGTACTACAACTACTGAGCCACCTGGAGGAGAAGAAGAACGAACTATTTTATCGATTCAAAATTAAATGAAACTTACTGTGAAATAAGTGTTTGTCGCATATGATTGACACGTTGTTCAATGTATTTTTCGAAATCTTGTGGTACCATTGGAAATGGTGCTTGGAGAAGATCTTGAAAACTAATAAATCTTTGATGTGCATATATTTCATCCCAAAGTTTTTGTAATGAAGTCATTATAGGATTATTTCCATGTAATGTTATTAATAAATCATTTTTTGTTTCATTCATTGAATCATGCCATTGAATGGGCGCACGTATTGTACGTAAACGAAATATTTTTGGTATATTTTGAATTTTGACACGTTGTCGTTCATTTGGATCTAATAAAATATAATCAACAACTGCTTTACGAATAGCAAGATCATAAGCTGAATGAATATCTTGTTTTAATTCATCATGAACAGATTTTAATGATGGTTGAAGGAGTTTTGGTATAAGATGAGAACAAAATCTATTATATTGATCAGGTGACTCAGGAGCAACCATACGTGGTTGAACACCTTTGGTAATATAATACCAATATCGCTAAATGATAAGAGATATGATTATCAAAGTAAAAATAAAATGATTTAATTTACTTCGACTTCTTCTTTTTTTGGTTCAGGAATATTACGTGATTCTTCAGCATTTAGCCATGAAAGCATATTTAATTGATCTGTTGGTGAAACTGGACGTGATGGAGGTATGACCCATTTTTCAGCTCTAAACAAAAAATAACATGTTTAAATTCAAGGAAAGGTTATTTCAAGCTTGAAAGGATTCTATAGATTGTTATGAAACCTTGAAAAAAAAACACTTCTTGTTTAAATGTTCAAACTTTCTTACTTTTCTTTTCGAAAATCTTGTGCTCGTTTTTGTTTCTTTTGTATCCAATTGGGTGTTGCTGGTTCCTCACGTGTTCGTTTTAAAAATTCATCAACTAAACAAACAAATCAATTTAATATCTATTTATTGTGTCAGATTTTAAGCAAAAACGTATATAATCATAGAAAAGCGTGAAAAAATACAAAAAAGCAGAAGAATAGTGATGTTAAGTGAATATTAGTATAGAAAGATTTTTTGACAAACAACAAACAATTTACCCTTGTCTAGAAAATGATTAAGATGGAAAAGATACTTTTTATCTTCTGAGATTTCGAAAGAATTTTACCTCCTCGATAATAACCATCACCAGGATATGGTGTTGTTTGTTTAGCTTGTGGTAATTTTCGTATATCTAAACGTTGAGCGTCTGGACTAAAATTATTTGCTATTGATTCGACAGCTGTACGAACATGTTTTTGTTCTTTAAATGGTGCAGCTACTGTCCATGAATCTGGTTGAACAAGTGGAGGATGTGTACTATGATTAAGAACAACCTGGAAAAAAAGGCAAAAGCTCTTTTTTTTTTCAATAGCTGTTAAAACAATCTTACTTTATATAATTCCGACACTTCACCTTGATTACGAGGCCATGGAGCTAAAGGCTTAGTAACACTGCTTGGGTAAGACGGTGCCACTAATGCCTTAGATGTAAACATATATTCTATATTTTATTCAAATATAATATGAAATATATTTACCTTTGATTTATCACCAGGGTTTGTCTTTGCAACAGTACCATTTTGGCTAGTTGCATTTGATCGACCGTTGTACATTAGTTTGGAAGTATCATTCGATGTATATATAACGAAAAATAAATCTAAAAATAAATGAAAAATAAATGGTAATAAAAAAATTTCAATATTGAATTGAAGATTAAACTAAAGAAGACAATCTGTGTGAATACTTAAAAAAAATGTTTTTGTTCAGGGTTGATGTAATAAAGTTTTTTTTTCGATCGCATCGCCATTGATAGACAAAGTTGCTTAACAACGAACTCTTCGCCAGCAAATTTAGTCATAAATAGCGCCATCTAGTTTGTAATAATATTTGAGATAAGAGTTTAAGACTTGAATCTTACTATTTAGAGCTCAGATCTTTAAGTCACAAAATAAGAAATCTCAATAACATGTTTTGGAATGATAAAGAAAGAAAATCTACCAGCATACTTGTTAACTTTTTTTTCTCAAAGTAATTTTATCGTTGATTGCCGATCGAGCACAGTTGTTTTGTTTATCGTCGTCAATAAGAATAAAAAAGAACCGTGAGAAGAAAACAAGAAATCATCTATAGAAACGTCCGGAATTCTTTCTTTCGTAATACTAACAGAACAATGAGTTATTTTTATTCTTAAAAAAAATGAAAGATTGACATTAAGTGCATATTGCTATTTAATATGAAATGACATAACTTCCTATAAAAAAATGCTGAATTTTAATAAAAAGAAAAAAAAAATGATAAGGAATGCAAAAGAAGCAGATATGACTTTTTTTTATTGCATCACACTTGTGCAAAATTCTTAAGTGATGGAGGAAAACTATAGAACAATTGAGTCGGATCAGTTACATGAAGCATGGTCTTTTTTAAATGAATACTATGATTTTCGTCGTTTGGCATGTCGTCGTAGAAAAGTTGAAGAGCAACTTCGTAATGCTAATATTTCGTTGACGTATGTTCCATGGAAATTAATGGTTCGTACTGTATTGTGTGATAATCTATTCGGTGATGAACAGTTAAAAGAAATGAATGCTAGTACTACAGAATGTTGTACGGAAGTTGATATTGCTTTGAGTCAAACTGTTATTAATGATTTACTTGGAGACGATGAAGAAAATACAAATAATCTTACAGAAACATGGATAGAAATTGATGAATTAAAACAAAGTTTTCAACGAGCTGTTGATCATATTCCAATCAATAGAAAAGCAAGAATGGAAATGATGCATAGAATATTAGGCTATCCAACAGGATATTCTGAAGAAGAAATGGTTGATAGTAATAATAACTTATCATTGGATTTAACACGTGTTCTACCTATAGATGAACAGAATCAAATGCATACAGGTGATTTAATTGAATTCGGTGGAAATCGTTTACACGATGCATTTTATATATATCGTTTACCTCAAAAAGGTATTTGGTCTCAAATTCAACAAATGTGGTCAAAACATCAGATTACAAACTTTGTATTCAATGAGACAGAAACAAGTACAGAAGAAATCATTTTAGTTCCAGCTAAAGATGAATATGGCTATGGTGTTCCATATTTATTTGCCACGAGACCCACAGAATTATTACCTGATGGGGCACTGTATAAATATATTGATATTAATTGTCCGCTTATAGCTATGCATACACAAAATCTAACTATCGCACTCGTACAAAAACATCTTAATGAACGTTTAAATAAACCTCAATATCAAGATAAATATATGGGTGAAGAAATGAGTATAGAACTTGATCGATTTCCACAAGAATACGTAGCCATAGTACATATAGATGGTCAAACAACAGACAATGTCGTATGGACACGACTTATGCATTACAATGGTAAAGAGGGTGCTAGAGATCTCAATGATAATTTCGAAATTTTCTGTTCACGTCGTATCCTCGAAGCTGAACAACAATATCGACAAAAACAATCACATACATAAAAATTGTATCTTTTTTTAAGTATATTATTCATCAATGAAATGAATGAATTAATACAGATAGAACTATATTTGAAGAGGAAATATATATAAACAAAAGAAAATGAGTTCTTTCAAAAACCATATTTAGCTTGAGTTTGTCGTTTTGTTAATTTCTGTTGACTCCACATATTCTTTAATTGAAGATCATCATGTTGAGCCTTGGCAACAAGATAAGTAAGTTGTCCTCGTTTTTTAGTTTCTCCTTTTGGTACATGAATTTTAGCTTGTTCTTTCATAGTTTCACGTTCTTCAGTTGCATTCTTAAGTAATTGTATTCTTGCACTTTCACTAAGCATTGAATCAATATGTACACTTTTAATTTCTTTATAACGTTCACTTTTTGGTAGATAATGTAAAAGCTTAAAGAAGAAAAGTAATATTAAAATTAAAAAAATATATAATTCATTTCTTACTTCATCATCATCTTGAATCGTTTGTTGATTTGTCATATGTTCATCATCATCATCAAGATCTTCAAAGTCTTCCGGTAGATTTGGTAATACTGGTTGTTCAATAACAGTTGGTCGAGCTTTCGGAAATGTTTCACGTAAAACACTTTCAACATCAGTAGTTGTTATTTGAATTTCTCTTGATTTTGTCAAACCAAGAAAGTCAGTTTGATCATCATTATCATCATCTTCAATATCACTATCATTTTTAGTTTGTTCATTTAATTGATTAGTTGAAATTTTCGTTTGTTGTTGTTGTTTCTTTTTAAGTGTATATGGAATAAATAAACCTGTTGAACTTATTTGAGGAGTCGTCGTTGATGGATTTTTAACTGTAGGTAAGCTTGGTGTAGGTTTATCTTCATCATAAATTGGAGGAGGAAGAAAATTTAATAATGCGCAATTTGTTTTTGTAGTTCTTTGTTTTCTTTTGGGTTTGTCTTCATCATCTGAATCCTGTTGAATAGTGGGGATAAAAATTTTCACTGGTCCATCACGTTTTCGTTTAATTGGTTTGGGTAATTCAGGAACATTTTTTGCATATTCTTTATTGTCTCCACGAACAATATCTTCTAATTCAGTTTCAGGAAGTTCAGTAGAATCATTAGTTGTACTTGATGTAGAAATATTTTGAGGTTTACGAAGATTTGATAATAGAGTCGATGATGATTGAATATTTGTTTTCATTGAATGTCGATCTTTATCATCATCATCATCACCATCGATTAGTTTTTTTGATACAGGATGTGACGGAGCTGGTAGATGAAGACGACGAGTTGTAGATTGAATTTCATTATCTTCTTGTTCTTCTTCACTTGAATCACCTTCGTAGTTTACAAGTGGCATTTTTATACTATCTGAAATGTATAATATATATCAAAAACAAATCATTTCTAATCTGCATTATAACAAAAAACGTTAAATAGAAAACAATATTTTTATGCCGTTTCTTCTTGTTGTTTTTCTTCTTCATCATCATTTTTTTCTGGATATCTTAAACGATTTTCAGTTATTTTTCTTGCTCGATATGCATCAACATAGTCAGCAGGATCAACAGGAAAAAAACCACAACGTCCTAATAGAATACAAAATGTTTTTTTTATCTTAATTTAAAAAAAAAAGATCTGTTCATACCAAGTAATTTTTGCACCCATGGATTAATAACAACACCTTCAGTACCAATCCAATATCTAAGACGTTTTAAATTAACTGCAACTAATATTTCATTTTTATCATTAGGCATAGGATCGTATGAGCCAAGATTTTCAATAATTTCATCAGCATTAGGTGAATGTTTCATACGTTGAACAACAATACGATCAAATCGACGATTTTTACAACCAATATTTTGTAAACGAATTTCATAAGGACCTAAATCATCTACTGGTGTTATATCAGGAGGTGGTCTACAAATAATAGATTAAAAGTTTTAAAAGTTAACAAAAATAAAAATATACCCATGTCTAAATGTGAATATTTTTCCTGTTGAATCAATAGCAGTTTTTTCTTCTTTAATAATTCCTGATGATAATTCTGCAGAAGTAGGAGGATTAGCTGGTGGTGCAGTTCTTATAAATCGTTTGCAAACAGATACTAAACATGTGAGTGATGTTGGCCGAATGAGAAGTAATTTATCCAACATTCTAAAATTAAACTGTAAAAATACTATAATTGAAAACAATAGTTTTACGTAATTCTAAGTATAATTCTACAAGAAAATGAATAAGAATAATATCAATTTATTCTTTCTACATGGTTATATACTTTGGAAGCCAAGCTGATTGGTTTAAAAAAATATTTCATAGATGACGCACATCATCACGAATAAATATACTGAATTTATCGATATATCTGTAGAGAAATTATTGCAGCTGTTTTTAGGTATTTATTCTTCGAAAAAGATTGATAGAAAGACAAAAAAAGAAAATGCTCTTACCAATATTATTATCGTTATTTATATATTCGAGATTAGTAAATGCTATAATTCCATTTGATGGAATTATTCATCGATCAACAGATGGTACTTCTTATGCATATTTATCGCCGCCAAAAACAGGCAATCATGCATCATTCATTGAACAAATGACACCATCTGGAACTTTAGCTGTTGCTTGGTTTACTGGAGGTGAAAACGAACCGAATTGTTCTATTGCACTTTCACTTTTACATATTGGTTCACAACAATTTACACCAGGTGTTATTGTTAGTGAACGTGCAAATTATTCCAATCAAAATCCTGTTCTTTTTTGGGATAATCAAGCACAAATATTACATTTATATCATTCATCACAATTAGGTAATGCTGGTGAAATAAATTCACAAATATGGCATGTACAAAGCAAAGATCAAGGTAAGTACACTCTTTCTCTTGCTCTTTTATCAAATATATTGTTGTTATTATTTGTTACGTGCGACATGGTCAACTGCTGAACCTTTCTATACTATGTCAGGTTCATTTGATCGTAATCGTATTATTCCAACAATGAACAACGATGGTGTATTGCTTCCATGTTATAATACCACAACAAATTCTGGATATTCATTTATACTTCGATCATCATTCATCAATTCATCATGGACACGTATTAATTTTCCATTGACTAATAATCTTATTCAACCATCGATTATTCGTTTAAATAATTCTCCACAATTACGAAGTTTTTTTCGTGATAGAAATGCTCAATCAATATATTATGCTGATAGTAATAATGATGGCTTAACATGGTCAGTACCAAAAGTAACATCTCTACCAAATAATGATGCTGGAATTGAAAGTTATACATTAAAAAATGGAGCTGTTCTTATGACATTTAATAATCTTAATGAAACACAACAACCAAGATCACCATTAACAATTGCACTTTCGTACGACAATGGGTTGACTTGGCCATATAAAAGAAATATTCAAATTCATGCTGATGATAATACGACATATATTGGAGAATATTCATATCCATCTTTATTACAAACTTCATGGACTGCAGCAGATGATAATGATATACATTTAGTATATACATATGATAGACAAACAATAAAATATGTTCGATTTAATGAAAAATGGATTAAACAAGGATTCTAACGAACAGAGAAATGTGTCAAAAATATTATTTAAGACATTCTTAAAAAAAATAATCTTCAATTTTTTCTGAAACTGTTTTTAACGAAAATTAGTATAAAGAAATCTTGAGGTTCAGTGTGGATATATATTAGATATAAAAGTCATCAATAAAATTCTAATAAAAAACGAAAATGTGAATGAACAATAGAAATAACAGATATTTTTAATATTTATTATCAACACAGATCGAAATCAAAAGAAGACGGCAAGTTTCGCTCATCTTGTCATGTTTTCAACAAATTCTCTCAAGAGAATATTCCTACAAAAAATCAACAATAGAATTATTCAACTTCTTTAGAATAAACATAGAAATGTTTTTTATTTTTTATTTTCATTAGTATTTTTTAAAATATGATCTGAAAGTGAAGTGCAGAAAAACAGATATTTTTTTTAACAATGAACATCGTGAATAAAGTAGTCTATCATTCTATAAATTGTTAACTAATCAAAAGATTTCGTCGATTTAACTAGATAATTTTTATTCTTCTTTCTGTAGATTATTTTGTCACCTATGATATCAATTTGTTTGAGAGATATATATTTTAAAGGAAATAAATTTCACTGCATAAGCGTAACTATAAACACACTCAGAGTCAATAAAATACTGATTCACATCCCCACTCGTTTCTTTTTACTTTCAATAATGTAAATTCTGTTTTTCTTTTCATTTATTTATTCTCAAATAAGTAGTAAGTTTTTTCCACAATATGCCTTGTCTCTTGGTTGAGATTATCATACATTTTACAAAATTGTGCACATAATAAGAATATAAAATATATCCACTTTCTAAAATACGATAATTGAGTTGATCAAACTATTTGACAAAAAAAGAGTTTGGTTGGAAAAAAATGATTTGTTTCAACATATTATTCATTTCTGATATTCATTTGAGAACGATTACTCATACGTTATCATTCGACTACATGTGGTTGGTGACAAGAAATGATTAATATTCTTTACATCTGTATTTATATCCACTCAGTTGTACAGATAATGATTTATCTTGTATTAATTATGACTCTTTTTCAATAACCACCATACAATATCATTTCGAGATATTACTGCAACTTATGTATTATTTGGTGAGTGATAGTTTATTAAAAAATGTGAATGATTAAATAGCTTGATTATATATTTAAAAAAAATGTATGATTCAGTTCACAAAAGAAAATGTCATTCTGTTCATATCGATTAATAAAGCTCAGCACTTCTGAGATAAGTATTACCCATACCACCAGTAACTAATACTTTTCCATTTGCTAAAATGGATGCTGTGTGATCATATCGGGCGGTACTCATGTTTGCTGTGCTTGTCCAAGTGCCTGTCGATGGATTGTACAATTCAGCACTATTAGTAGGATTAGTATTGTACTGTCCACCAGCAACTAAGACTGATCCATTTGCTAATGTAGATGCTGCATGAAGAATTCGTCCGACACTCATGCTTCCTGTAATTGTCCAGGTACCTGTTGATGGATTGTACAGTTCAGCACTATTCAGATAAACACCACTGCTGTTCTGCCCGCCAGCAACTAACACTGATCCATTTGCTAATATGGATGCTGTGTGCCATTGTCGTGCAACACTCATGCTTCCTGTGGTTGTCCAAGTGCCTGTTGATAGATTGTACAATGCAGCACTATTCAGATAAACACCAAGGTTGTATCCACCTGTAACTAATACTAATCCAGTTGCTAATGTGAATGCTGTGTGATCTTGTCGTGGAACACTCATATTTGCTGTAGTTGTCCAAGTACCTATTGATGGATTGTACAATTCAGCACTATTCAGATAAACACCGTTGTATCCACCAGCAACTAATACTGATCCATTTGCTAATGTGGTTGCTGTGTGATATTGTCGCGCAACATTCATGCTTCCTGTGGTTGTCCAAGTGCCTGTTGCTGGATTGTACAATTCAACACTATTGAGAATAGTACCGTTAGATCCACCGGCAACTAATACTGATCCATTTGCTAATGTGGATGTTGTATGATATGATCGTGCGATGCTCATGCTTCCTGTGATTGTCCATTCTAAATAAGATAGAAAAGTTAGAAAAAAACTTTGTTCTTAAAATGTCTTCGGATCTCTCATATGTATAAGTTGTCTATCTATTAAAAGCAGATTAAATTATTTCAAATCTTCAATAAACTTCTCTTTGTTTTTATGATTAAGATAAGATTTATTATAAAATGTTAAACCAGATAAATGAAAAATATGTTATAAACGACTTCATTAATATTTTTCGAGTCCTACTGATGTCACGAATTGACAAAAATTCTCCGATTATATCATGAGACTGGGTGGATGTGAATGATTAACAAAATGATCAATGAGTTCTATCGTATGAAAATCTTTTTATCAATAATATTTTCATCAAATACTGTTGGACAGGACAAGAATATTCAATAATTAAATGAATGCAGATCGAATCAAATCATCAAAAATTGATCTTGTTTCGACTTCTGCTAGGAAATGTTCTTGAATGTTGTGTATTTAGATGGCGATCATTCAGTAGTTAAATTCAAAACTTTTAGATATTGCCACTTCAATTAATCATCCTGTGAGCCGCTACAAATAATTTAATATAGCGCTTACTCGGTATTGCTGTTGTTGTTGATGATGTTGTTGTTGTTGATGATGTTGTTGTTGATGATGTTGTTGTTGTTGATGATGTTGTTGTTGTTGAAGTTAATGATGTTGAGGATGATGTAGTGGATGTTGAAGTTGTTGATGTCGTTGTGGATGTTGTTGTTGATGATGTTGAGGATGATGTAGTGGATGTTGAAGTTGTTGATGTTGTTGTCGATGTCGTTGTGGATGTTGTGGTTAATGATGTTGAGGATGACGTTGTTGATGATGTTGAAGATGTTGTTGTTGATGTTGATGTCGTGGTTGGTTCTATTTTAGAAAAAGGATTTTAGATTGAGACTAAACAGTTGGATAATATTTGTCTGTTAATTTATTTTTTTTCTTTAGGAATATATTGGCGTTAAATATGAACTGATTATAATAATAAAATCGGAAATGTTTAAATGATTTAAATTATAATTCTATGATTTTTACTTTAATTAAATCTTTTTCTATAATAATTTTAAGGATGGTGGTTTAGGTATGGGTGTTGGTGTGAGCCTTGTTCATATCTCGCATCCACACCCACACCCCCAAAAGATGTTCTATTTATACTGACCGGGTGGAAATCGGGTGCCACTAATAACGTTCATACTAATAGCATCAACATCAGCCAACATATTTACATTTTGGTTCAACATATCAGCAAATAATTCACAATTAGAAATTGATCGATGAAAAGTGGCTGCACTGCATTGACTTTGAGTTAAACACGCGACTTGACAATTCCTAATATTGGATGTAACAAGGGTAATGAATGGTAAACACGTTGTATTGGCACATTGAAATTTAGAATCAGGTATTAAAGATATTTCTACTGATCGTGTATCTTCTGCGATTACTTGTGTAATAATCATAAATAAAAGCCATTGAGAAATTTTTCTTGACGCCATCATCTACTAGATATTGTAAGTTGATGAAATGAACTTAACTCATAATAGAAGACAAAGTATTTATTGAGCAATAAATTCTATTTTTTTTTCTCTTTTGGGTGGGTAGTGCATAGTGTTTTCCCCGAATTCATTTCATCAATTTAATCAAAAAAAATAGTCAGGACTTTTTTTTCTCTGAATTCATTTCATTTATTTAATCAAAAAAAATAGTCAGGACTTTTTTTGTTTTCAAAAAAAACTAATTCATTCGGAAACATGATTTTCTACCGTGTTCAAATGTTGTTTGAGGACAAACATATTTATAAACAGAGCTTTTAAGTTATATGAAAAACGATCGATTCAACAAAATTGAATTTGAAAAGATAATATAATCAACATTTAGTTAGAGATGAAATTTTCTATAAAAATGAATATAATTCTATTGAAATTTAGTTATTTATATATTTAAATCTGAATGCTTCAAATGTATTTCATAGATTATATAATATATATCAGTAAACTATTAAATCATTCATATACGGGAATAAAGTCGATCTTCAATATCTGAATGGAAAATAATTAGATGAGTTGTTTGATTGAACAAGAAAACTGAACACTTCTTCAAAATCAAACACATTCGACTTAGGTTTTTATAACACGAAGTATGACAATACTTCATTAATCTCTCTTTTTGTTATTCTTCTATTTTTGATTATTTATAATTTATAATTCAATAGATAATCGTATTTCCCTTCACCAATCTGAAAATGAGCCAAACAGTTCCGATTCAGATTTATGTAGAATAATGTTAACTATCTATTTATTAGAAAAATTAAAATAAACAGTGCTTTTAGTATTCTAAACAAAGTTAAATGGTTGTTTATCATAACAACACATTCTAGTGTACTTTTTTCTCAATGAAAAATATTGATCCAGAAAATGTTGTTCTGATATTTCATGTGTGCAGAAAAAAAATAGTTGCAAAATCTTTTCGATTTTTCTCCAAAAAAGAAACGATGGAAATAGTGAATTTCTGAATACATCTTGGTTTGTTATAATCATAATAATACAAACTATGTTGCTTCACCAGAAAAAGTATATCTAAATAAATAATTATGGCAAGAAAATGTTAACTTCTTTTGTGAATAGAATACAATATATGCATGATCCCATTAGAAAAACTATTAAACAGTTAATGACGTCCTCTGTCTGTTCCAATATTTTGTTGAAGAAAAATATTCTTTCAAAGCTTGAATATATCATGTACAACGACAAGATATATGATTTTTTCCAACGAATAAACATTTCTTGTTCTGCTTCTCTCTCTTTCTCTGTTGTTTTTTTTCTCAATTCATTTCATCAATTTAATCAAAAATAGTTGTAAGGGCCTTTTTTTTTATTTTTAAAAAGTATGATCCATTTGTAAAAATGATTTTTCTACGTATTTGAATGTTTTTCAGGACAAAAATATTTATAAATAGAGCTTTTGACGTGTATGAAAAATGATCAATTCAACAAAATTGAATTTTCAAAAGACTATATAAACAACATGTAATTGCAGTTGAAATTTCCTATAAAAACCATAACTATTCAATTGAAATTTATTCATATACTCATATCTGAATACTTATAATGCATTTTATAGATTATACAATATATCAGTCAGCTATCACATCATTGATATTGAAATAAAGTCAATCTTTAATATCTAAATGATGAATAATCAGATGAGTTGTTTAATTTGACAATAGAGCGCAAGGATTATATGATTATTCGTATTTGTTAAAAATACTAAATTCAGGGCGTGTATAGTATTCTGACATTGATTAAATGATTGTTTATCACAACAAGACGTTGAAAAACTATTTTTTCTCAATGAAAAATCTTCCTCTAGTAAATGTTCATATTAGTTTCCTTTTTTTTTTCTTTCATTTGTATGTTGTTATGATGTATTATATGTGTAGAAGGAGAAAAAATTGTTAGAGAGTCTCCTCGATTTTTCATCAAATTAGAAACGATGGAAACAGAAACTAGATGAACACATCTACCTTTGTTGTAATCATAATAATACAAACTGTGTTGCTTCACAAAAAAGTGCATCTGAATATAAGTAATTATGGCAAGTAGAAAACAGCATCTGCATGATTATATTAAAAAAAACTAAGTTGATGACGTCTTTTCTTTCTTCTAATATTTTGTTGAAGAGAAATGTTTTTTTTAATTTGAATATAATATACACAACTTCAAGATAAATGATTATTTCTTTTTTTTCTTGTTCTGATTCTAATGATATTGGATTATCTATTAAAGAATATATTTTATACACCAATATGTTGACAATATAATATTTAATAGAGAAAAGGAAATCACTGATAATTGAGAGAATAATAACAATTTAAATCTTAAACATGAAATGACACTTAAAAATAGAATTAATAATGATACTAGAAATGACAATTTCTCTCTAAATATATATTGTTACTTAGAACAATCCTTTGATAAAAATTGAAATAAGTCAAATATATATGAAATGAGAAAGACATTATATTTTTCTATTTTATGCAAGATTTTCTGATACAAATAAAAGAGTTTATAACTGACAAAAACATATCAATAATTTATACATTTAAAAGTCGTTCTGAATTCAAACACTAAAAGAAAAGATTATTGAAACAATTTCATAATTTTGAAATAACGAAAAATGGATTTCAAAACTACAAATAGATTTTTCGATAAGATAAATAAAGATATAATACAAAATATAATATGACAAATCATGAGTAGAATATTTTATTGGTCTCAAAATTGAAAAGAAAAGAAATATTTTTCAATTAAACAATTTCAATTTCATTTCAATGGAATTGTTTCGACTTTAAATTTTCATATTATTTTTGCATTTCGAAGGATTTCAATCATAATCGTCGTTTTTACTTTATAGTGAAATAGGTAATTATTAGATAAGAATAAATTGACGACAAATCTAATGAATCAATTTAAGCCATTAGATCCCTTCGGATAAGTTTAATGATCAGATTTCAAGATAATATTACCATATCATTATTTTGATGTAAGTGTGTGCGATTGTGAGATAACATCAATATGTATATTTATCTAACTACCTTCTCCACACTTTCAAATAGAACGAAAGTACATCTGTGCTATATTACTTGTTGTTTCCTAAGACTTTATTAAGAATATTCGACTCTTTCTCGAAAAATCAACAATATTTCAAATTAAGAAATATGTTACATCGTTCTTTTGTTTTGTTCGTTGTAGAAAGGCAACATCTATTGATAAAATAACATAAATGTATAGCGCATAGGTTTTGCTCAATGTTGTCGATTAACATCAAAATAAATATGTAAAAAAAGTCACTTATTTTTGATGAAATATTTAAACAAAGAGAGATAGAGATTAAAATTGATTTATTCATTTATATATCTAACAAAGAAAAGTCTATCTAATATTTTATTTTATTACTGTACGATAACATAGGATGGGTGTCAGATGAGTAACATATTCGCATACACACCCACATCCTTTGTTGATACAATGGTCTGCTTAGTTTCTATTTGTATTTAGAGAAATCGCGCTCGATTTAGGAACGAAACAGGGGACTAGATGATTTTACCAGTTATTCATTATAAGAATTCATTCCTACTTATCCGATAGTCTCTGTTTTTATGAAACACGATCTAAAAGGAGTGTTGAAATGTATAGGGGTAGAAGTTTCGACCACGGTTTTCTCACAGGCGTGACGAACATTGTTAATTAGTATGTAATTAATATTTCCTTAGCGTTTAATCAATTATGGATTGGTATTTCATAATTTTTTAATTGGCATCACAGACTGTGACAGACTTATTTATTATCATACACACGAAAGAAATATTCTTCTTTTAGTTTTGCTGGATGATCAATGATTATTTATTTGAAACTATGAAAACATACATTTCAAGTATTCAGTACTTTGACTATACCATCGTCATTTTCAGTAATCTCAGATAGCAACCCTCGATGAATACATTTGAATTGTATGCAAAATTATTACAGAAAATCCAGTTTACCTATCGACATGAGTCATAGTCGCATCATGATGTGAAATACAAAAAGAAAAATAATACTCATCACACAAGGTAAATATGACGTCACACACGCGCCATTTCTTTATAACCGTTCGACTTCTCATAGCAACTGTCGTTAGTTACTGATGCACATTGATCATATACTATATAAGCAAAATACTCTTCAGATTATTTTATGTGAGCTTCTATTCTCTGGATGTATTTTTTTCGCCAACTTAACATTACTCTAGGGTTTTCTGACACGTCTGACGCAGCGCTAGTTGGCGCACTCTGTATTTCTTGAGTAAATATGCTTCGTTTTCTTTCTCATCCTGTAACACAAAAGTAAACAGAACACGATGTTGCAATAACAATAGTCAAAATAAAAGAGAAATGTAGTTGGAAAAAACCGAAACATTGCATTATATATATGCTGCACAAAACTATTTTTTCTTCTTCTTTTACAACAATTTAACTTTTGATTCTACATACAGCCTAAACTTTTTCAACGATGAGCTCGATAGAAGAATTTCTATTTTCATCAACAACAATCGACAATAATATACCGTCACCATCACGGTGCTGTATTAATTCGAGTATGAAAGTTTCTGTCATCCAAAAATATCACAATAATCGGTTTCTTTTTTGTTTAGCTGCTCCATCTGACTTTATTGATGATTTGCTTAAAGATCCTAATAATGTCGATCTATCACAATTCGATCCTAGTGTATTCGATTCTTTTTCGGATGAACTAATTAAAGGTTGAGTAGATAAACTATTTTACTCTGTTATACGATTTTTTCATAGGTTTCGAAGAAGCACAATCAAATGTTTCTAATGAAGAATTACCTGAATGGCTTGAACAAGCGATATTCTCGTTGGATGAGCACTCAGAAAATATTGGATGTCAAATTACAGAAGCGCCTGAGGAAGATTCTGCTATAGTCGTAACATTGGTTTGTTGATTCACATTGAAAAAGAAGAATCTCAATAACATTTTTTTTTGTTATTAGGATGTGCCTTCTAACTCGAATTCCATCAGTAATACCCAATCATTACGATTAATCACGCAACCAGATCCATACCAACGTGCTCGGTATGAAGACGAACTTGACGAAGATCTTCGTTTCATTTCAACGCCGACCAACAAGGGCATTGAGCTTGAAGTAACATATTTCATATCAGTTCTAACTGTTGTTTTTATCTCTGTTAATGTCACATAGATGCCCGATCTTCGAAGTCGTATACCAGCGAATATGTCGCTTATGATGCGTGTATCTCGTACTACAATTCCATTTGATTCTGATCAAACTATATGCTGTCATCCATATCCATTATATACAAAAAATGAGCATGCAATAGCTCATCATGGTTCTATACTATTTCCTGTAACAGATAAAAACATGGAAGAACAATTAATTAGGTATAGACATTTGGTGTTATTTCTTGAGGAAGAAAGAATTGATATTGATTGATATTCTTTTTTAGAATCGAAGATCTTATCATCCAACGAATAAAACAACCTACACTGAAGACAATCAAACAATGGCCGATCTATACATCCAATCAACTTGATTGTAATGGTAAGAAAATAAAAATTAGAAGTAAGTCTTCTTATATTCATTCCATTTAATTAATAGGTTTTCATTCTATCAACATCGACAAAGCGAAAGCGATCATTAGCACCTATAATCTTCGTTATTCTGTCTTACATTTTCAAATATTTTTGGTCGATGAAAATCAGATGGCTTATGCAACCGATTTATTATGTGAAACAACACCAATTTATGAATACGAACGTATAGGCTTTCTCTTGATTTTCATTACAGATATGTTATCCAAATGTTTGTTTTTCAGATAAAGAACGTGAGAATCTTCCAGCACCGTTCGGAGGTAAACGAAAATGTCAAACTAAACGTTCACAACAGAAATCGACCACGGTAATTTAACTTTTCGAAAAAAGTGAAACTTCAAGTTTCTTTTGTCTTTTATTTCTATAGGCTCAAGAGGAACCTGCAGAAAAGACACCAAAACAAATCAAAATCAAAAGGCTGAAGGGCCTTATCCGCTCAACCAACACTGAAGTTTAATACTTGCCATAGGCCGTTTTCTAAACATTTATTTATTAATTCAAGACATTTTATTGTATTCGTTTTTTAATTCAGAAGACACTCTTATTCTTTTATTTTTTTTTAAACAAGAAATAAACATATACTTATATCAGTAAAATACATGATTTGATGAATATCCAGAGTGGCCTAAAAATAACGTGATAGATAAGGATGTGGGTCTAGATTAAAAGAAGAGATACCCACACCCTATTCAGGATGCCCATGGAATGATATTCGTTTTACAATTAGTCAAAAGTTGATCCACTATCTGATGGATTATTAATAATGAGATGACGAAAATAAATTTATGACTGACGAATACTTTGTAGTAAAGATGTCGTATCTTAAGGAAACAATAAATCGTAACTCTATTTCTTTAATTATCCATTGTTTTTATTGACTATACCTTATCGAAGTCAAAAGTATTCTACTGATAGATTTTCTTGAATTTAATTATATATTTACATACAAATGAATATTTTTTTTGTTGAATTTCAGTAAAAAAGATCTATTCTGTATTATCTTATAGTAATTTTATCTCTGTTAATCATGTAGGAAAAATAAATTCATATTCGTTTTTTTTTCTTTAAAGCTCCATCATCTTTATTTTAAAACAAAGAAGCAATATTTTCTTTTAACTTGTTTGACATTGAGTTTGAAGAATACTCTTAACAGATTGAAACGAAACATGGATGACAACTTGGCATGTTGTTTTCTCTCCACTAATATCATTGACAGGTTTAGCAACAAAATCAATTTTATAATTCATACCATTAACAAGTTGAGTTTGAACACGAATAACTCTATAATCTTGAAGAAGAAGATTTTGTGATGTATGTAAATATCCAGCAGCAAAATGTGTCAAAAGTAAAACTGATTTGTCTTCGATCAAGTCAGGACGCTCTTGATAACTACCAGCTTTACTAAACAAGCCATGACAAGCAACTAACAACATGAAAAAAACAGCAGCGACTTTAAACATTGTTTTCTGTTGTTAAAAACACGCAACTATAGTTGAAAAAGTAAGTGAGAAAAGAAATACCTTTATTAACATTTGGCTCTTTCTTTATATAAAAAAGTATTATAAGTCTATTTGTAAAAGATTTACCTGATATATCAAGTATAATAGCGATAACATTAATAAGAAAACAACAATCAAAGTGATATTAACTTTTGTCATATAATCTTTAGATTAAAAATAAAGAGCAAATTTACTGAGATTATTTTCGGGTACATTCTTTAGATTAAATTTAGAGCCTTCTGATTCTAAAGAAATCCGATAGAGATTCATATTATCAGTTTTGATTATCCGAAACTGAAGTCATCCCAATCAAAAATATTTTAATGGTATTGTTTTGAAAACTCTGATCGAATGTTATTCGAAACTTTAATAATCTGAGCTCCTATTATAGAAGATATATGTAAAGTCATAGTATGGAGAAAATTTATTTATTTATAACTGAAAAAAATAAAACAAAATGTCGACAATCTGCATGAAAATCAAATACAAGAAAATAGAAAAAAAACCATATACACAGTTTTAGTTCAAATGATTTTATTAAATCTATTACCCATTTTACGATTGTATAATGTAATTCTTAGTTTGACAATCAAAAATATTGTTTTTTCATAAATCGTGAAGAAATCAAAATATATTGTTTTAACGTTTCTTTAGCTAAAAAATCTGTTATCATATAAAGAAAAATAATTAATTCCAAAGTTGCAATTTATTTTTTTAAATGTTTATTGATGTATTACAGATAACAAGCAGGAATAAACATAATATTATATAATATACATTAATCAATCTGTTTTATTGAACGTAAATGTTATTATGGAGCAGCTGATGATGTATTCCATGGTTGACTAGCCCCACCTTGTCCTTCTCCAGCACCACCAGTACCTTGGCCAGTTGCTGCACCTTCATCAGTTTTTTGTCGCTGATTTGATGCAGCACTTGCAGTACTCATACCAGCAAAATTAGAATCACCTAATGCTGAACTACCTTCAGGTTCAGCTGTCGAAGCAGATCCTAATTGACCTGATGTACCAGTTGAACGATCAGTATTACCAGAACTAATGTTCGTAGAATCTGTACTTTTTTCACCATTTTTAGCTTGTTGAGATGTCATCTTATTATAATTAATAGTTATATATCAAAGAAAAATAAAAGAATGATTTTTCGTTTTTTTGTTTCTAATGTTTATAGAGCTATGATTCATTTCTTTTACGTATTTATTTCAATATCATAGGAAAAGAATACAAGTAGAAACATGAAGTCACATGTCGCAAGACGAAGAGAGAAACACATTATTATATCATACTATCTCATAGTATAACTGAGGTGAATGAGGACACTTCTATAAACATATCAAATTAAAAAGAAAACCTATTTCAATCTGAAACTAATAATTTAAAAAAATAAAACATTTTGAAATATTCATTTCTATTTTTTAAAGTAATTCAAGTTCATTCGAAAACTATCAATAGATATGTTGCCTCATTTATCGAAAAATCTTCTTTCATAATCATTTAAATCACATCATATGTTCATTATGTTTTGGTATTTTTTTCAAAAAGTAACAATTTCACTTTAACACCGCCCATTCTTTTCTTGCATGAAGTTTTTTTCTTCTTCTTTATATTCATTTATGTAATGGAAGAATGTTGTTTTTGTTTAACAAAAACAACAATAATCGAATTGCTTTAATCTTTGGCAGCACTTATTCAACATGTACATTTCGTCAGTTTCTTTCTATTTGATGAAATAAAAAACTGAAAAAAAAAATTTATAAAATAAACAGAAATGTTTGTGCTCGCTCTCTCATTAAATAGAAGGCATTTTTTCTTCTGCTGCGACATAAATCAGCATCATTTGAAAAAGTGCACATACATTAAACGTTTCGTCACATTTTTTAAAACAAAAATATCATGGCTGCATTCATTAAACAAATGATGATTACCATCCTCGTCCTATCTGTCTTCTACTTTCAATCAAGTAGGAAATCTATTTAAAATATACATAAAAGAAAATTTCTATTCAATTTAGGTTCTGCTTTAATTTGTTGGACATGTAATCCCTGTCCATTGGTTTTTTCTAATACATCATCATTGGTCAAAGCAGCTAATTGTTCAAGTGCAAACACCATTTGTGTGGTAAGATTATTCATTTTGAAATATCTTAGAAAAAAAAGTTGATGTATTTTTTAGTCAAATACAGTTTATACATTGACCCAAACTGCTCAAATAACCAAAGGATGTGTAACCGCTTGCCACGAAGCGTCACAATCTTTCTTTGGACAAGGTGCTTTTGTCGATTGCTGTACAACAGATTATTGTAATTCATCAATCCGAAATCAATTATCATTACCAACTTATTTACTTTTTATTATTACATTTGGTTTCATCTTCTATTATAATCAACAATTATACATTTAAATTCCTATTATAAACATGACGAAAGAACTGCTGTAACAAAAAAACTCAATTTATTTTTTTTCTTCTAGTGTGCATTTATCATCGGTGAACAGTATTTAAATAAAAATTTAATTTTTGTTGACCATCAAAATCATATATGTATAATATTAAAATAAACATTGATTTCGCTGATAAAAGAGGAGAGCAATTCCATGACAGCGTTCTATATAAAATCTGCTGATCATCGAAATTGTTCTTCCTTTATTATACAGCTAATAAAATAAAATATTAAATTCTAAAAACTAAAAAAAAATCATCGACGATATGAAAGGATGAAAGAAGAGAGCAATCCCCATGACAATTTGTCTATTATTTATGTATCTAATTATCAAGAAGAGCTCTCTCCTCTACTTTCCAAAAACAAAACCTTTCGTTTACCGTAATAGAATAAGATTATTTCCATATTGTTTGAACACAATGTCTATTCAACTGACAAGTAGGTGTTGAGTATTTGTATATATATATAGTCAATGAAAAATGATAGTAATGAAACATTTTCAATTATTTTATTCACTTGATGCCATCGTATTTGTGAAAAAGAGATATATCCATTTCACCTTATCAATTTGATGATCTTGTGTTCAATTGCGGAACGAATGAACGATAGTTGTTAAATATATAAACAGCAAATAATAATACAATAGTGCAATCAACGAACACAAAATAGATGATAAAGAAGAATAAGAAAAGATTCATTCGCTCTTCTCTCTTTTTTTTCGTGTTCTTTTAATTTACTCCTCCTCGCAACATAGACTGACATTTGAAACTAAACGAATAATAACAACATATAGGTATATATATATACATCATGTTGTTGGTGTTTTATCAAATCTATCAATGAGATAAAGAGAAAGAAAGAAAGAAAGAAGAAAAAGAGAAGCTTTTCATGGATGATGCCATTTTCAATTTGATGCCGTTTGAACTTTATATGTTAGACGTAAATACATATAGATCATGAAATCTAGCGAGAAGAACTAATTGAAATCGTATGATACCTACGATGAATATGATTCGTTCGTCGTCGTTGTTGCTTCTTTTTTTTCTTCTTCTTCATCACTTTTTATAGCTCCATCAACATAGTGATAGAAAATACAAAAGAACACGTCTATTTCTTCAATTACATAAAGAAATTTATTTCATCAAATACTTGATAGTTCGTGTTTTATATATCTAAATCACTCGGGATGTATAACTTTATTTCAAACAAAAAAAAGAAAAAGGAGAAGAACAACTTTCTAACAATTTGTCAAACAAGAAATTAAGTTTAATTTCCATTTTGGATCAATTACGAACATTGGTTCAGGTTTATAAACTTTCATTTTATTAAAATAACCTTTTCGATATTCATTTTCCTCATGTAAATTTAATTTTAACCAAATTATATCCGAATATTTCGTTGTTAATAATATTAATTGATCATATGCATTCGATGCTAATTGTTCAATTTGTAAATATTGAAAAAGAATTAAAACTATTTTTTCAATATCATCAATATTAATCGTAATCGCATTTAGAATTGTTCCTAGATTTGTTAAAAGATGTTTTATATATCGATATTCAAGCGTATTTGTTGATGATATAAAACGATTCTTTTCAAGTTGTTGAATAAGTATTGGTAAAATATCTTGTCGAATACGTCGATCAACAAATTCTGAACATATATGACATAAACATTCTATTGTTGATAAACAACGTATACGAATATTAATATCTATATCATATAAACGATGAATAAGACCTGGCCAAAGTTTATGAACTAATGGTAAAAATAAATTTTCATCAATTGTTGAAAGTAATTGTGCTAATGATGGAAATGCATCAAGTACATATGAACGTATATGAGTATTTGAATGAGATATAAAATGTTGAAAAACATCAACAATTGACACAAGCATTTTATGCCATGGATGTTCTTCTTTTTTTTCTTCGTTATTTTCTTCTGTAGACGTATCTACTGGAGGTGGATTATATTGTTGTTGTAAATCAAGAGTAAATTCAATTAATGATTTTGATTGTTGAGATATTAAAGTTGTTTTCGTTTTCTTTTCATCAACTATATCAATAATTTGTTGACAAAATATATTTAAAAATTGAAATGTTAATTCAATACATTCAATAGGTGGTAAACATGATAATTCAAGTAATAATTGTTCAATAACATGTACCATTATAGGTAAATTAATAACTTGTTTATTACCTAATCGAATAAATTCAATTAAAATAAAATAACCATCACAGGATGATGTTTGTAATTTTCTAAGTGATGTATCAATGATATATTCAGATTGTGATACAAGAAATAAAGATAAATCATTTGAACATAATGTTAAACAGAATAGAGATGTTTGATGAATAATTGTATATTTTGATGAATGGCAAAGAAGTAATAAAGGAATATAATTAATGAGATATTCAATTTGATCTAAAGGAGTTAAAGTATGAATACATTGAAGAAGATAATAGATTGTTAGATTTCTAATTGAGATCGGTTCTTCTTTCAATTGAATTTGTTTTCTTTTTCTTATTATTCGTTTTCGATTATCATTATCACAAATTAAATGGGTTAGTAATGATAAAAGTGATTGATATTCTTCAATATTATGAAAATTTGTTTTTTCAAATATAATTGAAAGAAGATAAAATATTTTTCGATTATTTTCATCAATTATATTTTTACGATTAATTTTTTCAAATAAATAATCAATAAATTTCGCATGTGAGGATGTAAATAATTCAATGATTTGTTTAATTTCATCATGAACATCGGATTTTAAATGTTTATAAACAGAGTTATATTCATTATGATTATATGTTCGATAATCATTATTTGGTAATGAAGATCCATTGAGTAAATTAAGATTACTTCGTATTATTGTATCAAAATCAAGTGTATTGAAAATAAAATGAAGTAATTTATCAGTAAATGTCTCAATATCAAAAAGAAAATCAATATGATGATGAATAAATGTATAATAACCAATAAATAATTGTAAACGCCATCGACGATCAGTTAATAATGATGTTGATACTTGTTTTTGATCAAGCAATTGAAATAGATCAGTTTGACATTCGATTAAAAGATGATCGGATAAACTAATACTTGATGAATGTAGAATTTCCTCAAAAAATTCATTTTCATAGGAAAGAAATGATGAGTCAGATGATGGTAATTGAGATGGTAATATAGGTAATGATTCAATCGGTACTATAATAAAATAAAATATGTTGATTTTAAATGAAAGACGATATTAACTTACATTTAAATAATTTATTTAGTAGAACTTTTATTATAATCTCATTTTGTTCATCTTTTGATGACGATATAAGAACAAGCATTGTTTTTAATGCAATATTTGATGATATTTTTAACCATGTTGAACAATAACTTAATATTGTTAACATAAATATACTAAGTGTTTGACGAACATAAAAACTTTCATGATTTGCGTAATCTGTTGTAAATCGTTGTAAAATCGGTGCTATATGTGTATCAGCAATCGATAACCATTGTTCATTTCGTTCAACAACAATATCACGTAATTCATTCTTCATTTCAGTCGTGTATTTAGGTGAACGAATAACAGTTATTCGAATAATATAACTTAATAGAATAAGATTTGCTTGTATAAGACGTTGATGAATTGAACCAATATCTTGTGCAAATGTTTTTAATATACCTGGTAGAAAACAAGCTAAAATCTGTCCAATAATTAATCTATAATCATTCTCATTTTCATTTTTATTCACATAAATAATTGACCATATTGTATCAATAATATGAAGTCGATAATCAAGTGTATTTATTTTTTCATATAATTGAAGTAAACATGATAAATAATGTCCCATAATTGGTAGATTTTGATTAAAATTTCCTAGAAATTCTTTATAGAAAAAATGTAAATTTGTTTTTATTGATAAACAAAATGAACGAAAAAATCGAACAAATAAATCTTGTTGTACTTCATCATTTGTTGTCATTATACGCTTTGTTAATATAATACTAATTATACAAAGTAAATCATCAAGTGTTTTTTTCGTTGATATTGGTATAAGTTTAAATAATGTTATAAATTGTTGAAGAAGTTCATCAAATAATGTTGGAGTTTGAAAACGATTGAATTGACGTAAAATTAATATCGCTGGAATATATAAACTATCATCGTGAATACTTTTTTCATCTTCAATACGACGATAATGACATTGTTGAATGATAGAAAAAAATAATTGGATATTATCTATTGTAGGTTGTTGAAGAACATTACGAAGAGTTTGATCAAGATTAAGAATCAGTTGGGAGTTAGGATTTGAAAACATATCTATGAAGTTGAATTAGTTGGTAATGCTGCTTGACGAATTTCTTCGCGTAAACGACGTTCTTCAAGAGCTTTATGACGTGCTTCAAGTTCTTTTTCTGCGATGATTTGGTGAACGTCTAAAAAAACAAAAAAATTGATTTTCATTCAACCTATTGAAATCTTACCGATTTGTTCTTTTTCACCGGTATTTATATTCCACTTGGTAACGTATCGTTCTCCTGTTAATCTAGCAAGTTGAATACTATGTGGAATACCTGTTTCTTTAGCCGATTTATCGGCTCTATTTGCAATAAAATAGCCTGCGTATCCCCAGACAACAAAAAATGCAATCGTATTAACAACACCACGAGCTTGTTTTAAATCTTTAAAATTCTTTCGTTTAAAATAAGCAATCTGTTTTCGCCACTCGTATAATGAAAACCGCATCTAGTCTGAAAACAAGAAGTTTTTTGTTTTATATATATCAAATCACTTGAAAAAAAAGAATGAATATATTAACGTGCATAGATCATCACTGTCATTTGCTCGAAATACAACTGAGAACAAAGAAAAAAAAAGGAATAAAAATGGCGCACACCGAGGTTGTTTTTTTTAGCAAAAAATGGAAACATCATCTGACATGTTACGATTGCACAACGACCATTGGATTACGATTTGTAGTTGATTGAGCATTCGATTCTTGTTCCGTTGTTGTTGATAAAAAGAAAAGATTTTGAAAAAATTCATCAAGATTATTTGTTTGATTTTGATATTTTTCGATTATTTTTGTTATTCGAGTTTTTCGTACTGAATAAGCCGTTTGAGAACTAGAAGACAAAATCATATTCTTTCCAAAAAAAAACAATATTCAATTAAACCTTTGACTATCTTCTAAACGTTTTCGACGACATAAATTATGTACAGCTTGTCGAAGAAAAAAGGATAATATATGAAGTGGAATAACCATTCCATCAATCAATGGAATACTTGCACATGCTGATTGCATTCTAATAGCAAAAATTTATTAAAAACTTTTCCAAATTAATCTTATACTTACCGTTGAGCATTTGAATTGAGAAAAATACGAAATAGATGATTTTTTAATGGATGAATACCAATTATAGAAATATCTCGAAGTTTTGATGATTGTTCTTGAGCTGGTAGAATTGAATCTAGATCTTCACGAAATTCTTCCAACCAAACAATTAAGATTCGCATTTCTGAACCTTGATTATCAACTAAAACTTTTGCATACAAGAAAATAATCATTAGGAAAGAAATATGACTTACCAGAAAATTGATGAGGTAAATAAAAAGCCATTTCAGTTGTTAAATCTACCCAATAAAAAATACTGTCTTCTCCGTCAATTTCAGCTAATGTTTTTGAACTTGAATTTGTATCTAATTTAAAGAGAATTTATATCTCCTCAAAAATTTTTATTTCTTACTTGTTTGAGAATTAGCAATTGTTTTCCAACTTGTTTCTATATTTCCTGTCCAACCACAATGACGTATAACTTCTACAACTGTTCCGAATTGTGAGATCATTGTTAAAAATGCTGGATTTAATTCTTCTGGTGTTTTCTAAAAAAAACAAATCTAATGATTATATATTAATTATGATCATACCGTATTTGAAAATGAATCTAAAAGTGTTGTTTGATGTTTTTTTAAATAATAAATTTGTCCTGTACAATAAAGTGTTGGTGAAATTTTATCAAGTTTTTTAATATCATCCATAAATGTATCTGAATCAGAATTTAATAATTGAATTCGTGGTTGAAGACGATCAAATAATTTAGTATCGTTCTAAAAATAAAATCTACATTATTTTTTTCTTCTCCTCACAAATATTTACCCAATGTTTTCCATTCATAAGATGATACATAGAATCCAATGAACCAAATCCATAATGTGACAAAAATAAACGAATACTTTCAAAATGTTTTTGACATCTAGAAAAAAAACTTTTTGTAACAAGAAAAAGAAAAGAAATGAATTTACTCAGGTGGTTTGCATTCTGGTAATGGTTTTTCATCGAAAATATGAGCACGTTGTATAGCTTGTTCTTCAATATTTATTTGTTTCCCTTTTAATGCTCGAAATAAATTTAATTTTTCTTCATCTCGTTTAAGAATTGAATTTAATGTTGGAATACTTAATTCACTAAAGATAGAAATGTTTAGTTATTTCTGTTAAGCAATAGATATATATTAGCGGCCATAACCAAAGAAAAGCTGAATAAAATATTTCGATTTTATACTTACGATGGTGGATAAACACTGAAAGAGAGAAAGCATGAATGTATTAGGTTAGCTTGGCATTATTACCAACCTGTTATGTTGGAGAGGATCGCTGGAAGTTATTTTTTTATTTTTTAATATAAATATAAGAAGTTTACTGAACTATTTACCTTTTAGTTCGTTCATTTTTTGTTCCATGTGTAATTAGAGATTTATCTTTTTGATCCGCAGTTGAATGATTAATAGGCGATGAAGAACTTTTACCATTTTCATGTTCAATTCGTTCATTTAACACTTTATTATATTGTACAGTTGAATTCGATAACGGATTATGACGAAAATTTAATGTCCATACATTTTTACCAAATAATCCACGACAGAGAAGAATTATTGTTGGCATTCCTAAAAAAACAAACGAAAACTTGATTACAAAATCAAAAGAAGAAACAAACCATCATTAGCATTATATGGTAATTCATTCATAGCAAATAAAGTATTTCCATTAATTGCAAAATATTTAAATGTCGTATTCGCAAATGTCGATTCATCTAACCAATTTCGACATATATCATTTTTTAAATGTAATACAGCCTAAAATAATATAAAGATGACACGTATTGTATACAGAGCGTGTTACTTACTTTGTGTTCGAAAAGAACGAACATTAAATATTCTGCAGCTTCTGCAACACGTTGTGATGCTGGATGAAATTCTTTATCTTTTTTCGAAACAAGTCCATCCGGTGTCTAAAATAAATTTAAAAAGAAAATGTATTTTTTTTTGAATTATTAAATATTACCTGTGCTTTTTCACCTGATATACCTAATTCAATAATTTCACATAATTTATATAAATTTTCGTAATCATCAAGTAATGTTGGTCGTTCAATAATTAATGTTATCAATGTATTATATGTTGCAACACATGTTGAATGCATTTCACGTGTATGATCTTTTGGACTTCGATGTAATTGTGCATCAACAAATGTACATAAACGTTTAAGAACATTTTTCCATATATCAATCGCTGAAAATAATTCGTAATTTCTCAAAGACAATATTTAAATAGAAATAGAAATACATACGTAATTGACAAATAGGATCTGTTACAATTGAAATCAATGTATCGAGTGCAGCTAAGAATAAGTGAGAATCATTGGTACCTTTATCACAGATGAGAATTACGGCATGACTTAAATATCCAGGAGTAAAATCTGTAAAAAAACAACAACAGAATAATATCTTTTAATTAAGAAACTATTTAGTCAGTTATCTTTGTTCTTAGCTTTCATTATTTACATAAGATTACATGAACAAATGAAGTATTTGTACAGTAACAATATGTGTTCTGTTACCTTTCTTAACATTTTCATCAGTTTGTTCTTGCTGTCGTTCATGATGAGCAGCTAATGAACATGCTAATCGAATCGTACCTATGCGTATAAAAGTTACATTCTTTTGTTTTGTCTATTTTTAAATATCTAACCGAAAAGTAATTGTGTATTAGTAATATCTTGTTCTGTTTGTAAAGCAGAAAGTAATAATGGAAATATTCTTAATCGATAATCTAAAAATGTTTTAATTGTTGTTGTTTGTACATCATGAGATTTTTCAAGATGATCTTCAAATAAATGTTGTTGAAGATGTTCATAATGAAATGGTAAACTAACAATTGACATAAGTATATGAATAGCTTTCGAACGAATACGTATAAAACGATCACGAATTGATGACGTATTATTATTATTTGTTCCTTTTGATATACTCAAATTATAATTTATATAAGATTGTATATCAGTTTGAAGATAATATTCAATAGCATCCAAATAAAGTGAAATAAGAATATTAATACCACGTAGATTAATTCGAAATAGATCACCACTGTTTAATAATATAGATTCAATAATTGCTTGTGAACGTTGCTAGAAATGAATACAATGATATTTATATATGTTTTTTTTTGAAATTTTACTTCATCTCCGTGATAAAATCGAAGTCCTTGTTGTAAAACATAATAAAATCGACTTAAATATTCAGGATAAATAAATTCATCACATTGTGAACTACTAAATATTGTACAAATAGTTGCAAATGATTTAGCAAATGCTTCATCCATTAAACGTTCATTCTAATTAAAAAATAAACAATAAAATATTTAGATATTTTTCGTTCTTTTTACTTGAATGTCAATGTTCTTCTCAGTTTCATTGGCTCGCGAAGCTAAAAATTAAATTAATAAATAATTTCAAATTAAAATTCTTCTTACTTAAACCTGTTAAAAACTTCTGTCGTATAGCCATTAAGTATTTTTAAATACTTTCAGATACTCAAAATAGTGTATATATTGACTGTTCACTCAGCCGTATCAATCGAACGAAGTAAAACGAAAAAGACGTATTCGTTCTTTTTGTATCTATCTTATGACATCCATACTATAAGGTCAATTATTTTTCTTTTTCTTTTTTGTTCTTTCATTTACATAAGACTTTATCTACTTACTATCATTTATTGATGAACGTGAATGACGATCTTTTATTTGTAATAGACAACAGTCTAATATCCATGAACCATATAGATGCATAAAACTATTTACAGTAGGATGATTGATTCGAGTCATTTTTATAGGAGAAGGTTTTTCAGGTTGAGTTGTTGCAATAAGTAGTGGAGTCATGGGTGAAAATGTTTGACTAGAAGGCATATTGACTATAGAAAGAGAGAGGGAGATTTTAGTTTTTGATAAAAGAATTATTTTTGGTACTTTTTCGATTGTCAACTTGTGAGCGAGTAGTTCGTAATGTTGCAGGAATTGGAACTTGTTGATGATGTTGAACAAATGATGGTATACCACGAAGAGATTGAGCAGTAGCACGCGATGATTGATGATGATTTGGTGTTGATAGTAGATTATCACTTGTGATTACTATTGTATGATTTGAAGGTTTTGGACTATATAAACATGTGGGATCAATCTCTTTTCCTATAACGGAAATAAAAAAGATTAATGTATCTATATCAAAAAAAAGGAAATAAATTAATTTTTTACCTAACCATATATCAACAAACATTCCTATTGCTTTAGTAACATTAACAAATATACGTGGTAATTCTTGTAATGATGTAAAATCTTTTAGTTTCAAATTTGAATTTATCTGTAATTGACTAGAATATTTTGGCATTTGAAGAAAAATCTAAATTTCAATTTATATATATTCATTTCTATTGAAATTTTCAAAATTACCGAAATATCACCACAATCAGATGGATTTTGTAGAATAGTTAAAAATTGAATCCATGTTATAATGAGTTTATCTAATGAAAGAGAATCAATTATCTTTTGTGTATATTCACCTTGATCAGTTTCAGTACCTATAAGAAAAATAATAATAGTAGTAAGATTTTTTCACCTAATTACTTACAAACATATTGCAAAGGTAATATATCTGACCACCATAATTTATGTACAACAGTTGATGTAAGAACACATGTTAATTGAGCCCAATCTATATCGAAATGAAATGAGATAAATAGTATATTTTGACAGCTAACCATAAATAACTGCAGGACGATGTCGCCAAGTTTGAGCATAATCACGAAATGTTCTCCATAATCCTGGTGGAATTTGTATTTTATCAATAGCTGCCATAAATACTTGATATATTGATGGTACAAGACGATGGCTCATAACGGCAGTACATTCTTCATTCGCTATGAAATTCAAGAAGAAGAAAAATGACATATATATAGTTTGTTTATATTATACTTCGATATGCTGGAGATAATACAGTATCACCAATAGCTAAAAATACTTGAAGTAATATGTGCCATAAATCAAAACTTAATTCAGTTTGACTAATCATTATTTGTAATTGTCGTAATACTTTATGAGTATACATTCGTTTTGTTAATAAATCCGCTGTTTTTTCTATAAACAAAAACGTCAGTTTGATTTTCAAGAGATTATTTTCTTTACCATCATGTATAACAAATAAATGATAGAGATGCCAGAACATTTGTGACCAATAAAATTCCGTTTTTTCACGTAAAATTGGTGGAATTGAATTCGAATTTATCGATGTTGTTTCAAATACTTTGAGCCATTCAACATAAACATTTGCACATAATTGATATATTGCACTTTCTTCACATGTAAAACCAAATGCAAATATTTCAAGTGTCCATTTAAAATCTTTATCTGTTGTTACGGAAAATGGACGATTACTTATAATTAATTCATATATATGCGACAAATAAGGCATAGCAATTTTTTCAGCAACAACTGATGGTATACTACATGATAAAGGTGAATTACATATACTATGTCGCTGTATTTCACTATCATATGATGAATATCCATTATACATGAACATCTAAAACAGTTTTTAAAAAAACAAAATAGCCTTTATTTATTTATTTATTAAAATTCGAAACAGAATGATTGTTAAGTATGAAAATATCTGTTTTAGTACGAATAATAAAACGTTGATGTTCATTCATTGGAATAATATTTCGTATTTCATTACAATCAAATATACGAAGAGAACCAAGACCATTAATATTTAAATCAAAACAACTACCAGGATATGTTCCTCGAATAAGCCAACCTTGATTTCCACTTGAACAAATCCATTCACGTTCAATTTGATCATCGATCATTATCTTATATAAATAACCATCAGCAAGTGATATTGTTGAATAAACTAATATAACATATTTTTCATTATTATCTTTAACTAATAAAGCTAAGTGATCATTTGTTTTATGATCAAGAGATATTCGCTGTGACTTAAATCCATCAGCAATAGGATATTCATCTGCTTGAAGATTTAATAAAGATTTTTTATCATATTTATATAATGTTGATTGTTTTACTAAGTAGAATATACAACGATGATTATCTATTGCACCACATATATAATCATGGCCTGATTCAATAAGATCACATTGTGTTGTTCGATAATCTAATAAGTAAATTTGTTCATTAGTTATAACTAAACATTTGAATAACCAATCAACATAACATAAATCACGAATAATACATTTCTTATCTAATTTTGTCAAAGCATTATTTTTCGAATTAATAAGTGAAAGAATAACTAATTCATTTAAATATTGTGAATAGATCAATGTATTATTTTCACAAACAATTATAGCATTATCTTGTGTTGAAGATGATAAATGTGCTAACGTTTCAAATGTAAAATCTCGACCGAAATCAATTGAATTAAACGAAATTTTTTTACGAATCGATGACGAAGATTTTAGTTTATTAACAGAAATTTCGATCTGTTGTTCTGTCTTTTGTAAATAATGATTATTATCGTCTGATACATCATTTGCTGTTGATGAAGATGAATATATATTTTGTTCTTTTGATACCACTGGTATTGTTGTATTTCTAGCGATGGTTGAAGATTGTTTTAATCGATGTGAACATGTTTTATATTGACGTTTACCTCAAATAATTAAATAAATATCTATAACTGTAATAACAAAAAAAAGAACATATACTTTGATATTTATCAAATGCATTTAAAATTAATTGACCAGATGATCGAGCTTGTTCATCAAGTTGTTCTAAACGTTGTAAACGCCATTGATCAATAAATTTCAAAGCATTCGTACGTAGATTAATAGCTTGTGATCGATTTGAACAATGATGAATACGATGAATATATTCCTGAATATTTTCGTCAAAATCATTATCAAATCTATTACTTTCATCAAAACGATCTGATACTTCCATTGAAAATGTTGACAAATGGAAAAATGGTTTAGCTCGACTAATATTCATTTTATCCTTTAGAATTGTCTCGATAAAATGATGAAGATTTCTACTATATTACGTGACTAAATGTTTTGTTGTACGAAAAAGAAAAAAAAACGTTTTGCCTCGATATATTTAAGTGCATTATATACGTTCTATTAAAGTAAAAATTTTGTTATTCTCTCATTTTCATTTTCTATATATAAAAAAAGAAGAAGATATTGTTTATCGAACACGTACATTAACTTACATATTTCATTTTTTTTTCTCTGAAGAATTATTCACAATAATACAATAAGTTAACTATACATATACACACACTACTGAAAAAAAAGAGTGTATGTGTTCCTGATTAGGAAGATAAATAAAAATAGAATGAAAGAGAAAAAAAAGTTTCAAATGTTTTTTTTAATATATCATATAAAGAGATAAATAGAAAAGATATGTTCAAGAAGAAAGACGTAGAAAAATAAATTCTTTAACATGGTTAAGGTTTCTTTCTGCATTCTTGATTATTTACGTTCAGTAGATGCGTCATTCATTGCTCGATCACACATTTTACATACACGTACAGGTGTTAACCAATCTCGTTCGGGTACAGAACGTTTATTTGGTGAACAATGTTCACAAACACCATAGCCACAACTGCGACTATAAGAAAAAATATGAATTATAAAAATCCCATTACACATTAAAACAACATACCAATGATGTAATCGATTTGTTGTATTATTAAAAATAGATTTACATATAGAACAAGAACTACATTCACTATCTGGTTGCCAATAATTTGGTCGAGTACTTTCTTTGATAAATTCTATAAACGAAAAAAATTATTTATTTTATTAAAATATTATTATATCTTTTAAATACAAACCAATTGGATAGTTAACACCTATTTTTTCAAGACCACTTAGAACAGTTTCATAAACACGTCTAGTTGTAGGAATGTCAACTGTTACTGGACCTTAGATAAAAAAACAATAATTATAAATAAATTTTTGACAGAATAGGAGAAAATAGAAAGTATATTTTTTTGAGAGATAGAACAGCATGCATAAGGAGCGTTAACACAAAACAAGACGAAGTGGAACAATATAAACGAGCAAACGTTGGACAAAAACCGACCATTGCCATACCTGCTCCTGGCTGTTCGATATCGAAAATATCAGTTGGAGTTAAACATAAATCGCTGAGATGCTCACCAGACGTGACAATGCTTCCGGAATCTCCGCTACTACCAGTTTCATAACCATTATTTTTTGGTTTTTGATTTTGTTGTTTAGACTTATCATAGGATGTTGAAAATGAATTTGTTGATGATGACGATGATGAAGGTGGTCGTGATTTAGGATTACCATAACAATTATTACATACACGTACGGCTTTTTCAGTATCAATCCACGGAATAACACGTCGATTTGTTGTACATGTATCACAAAATACATGACCACATGCTAAATATAAATATTATTTTATTTTTTAATATGTTCTATACAACACACCTCGACAATGATGTTTAGAAAAATCTGACCCAAATTGTAAATCACATGATGAACATTTCTTTGAAATAGAAACAGTTATTCTTATTTATTTAAAATAAAGTATTAATTATTTTACATGAACATCTTTATTTGGAATCCAATAGGATGGTGCTACTTGATCAGCTACCATTTCTGTTATCATTTTTGTTGGAGCCGATAAATAACTAAAACGATATATATAGTATTATTGATTTCCATTATATGAATTCAAAACAAACCTTCCAGCGAAGACGATTAATTCAATAAATTTTCTTGGTGTAACATCACTTGCTAATCGACTGTTATCTTCTCCTGGCCAAACATGAATAACTTCAACACGTGTTACATCTTTTGGTTCATTATTTCCATACCAATGTTTTCTCGAACGATAGATTTCTCCGTGATATGGACATTCGATAACGAAACCCGACCAAACATATTTCAAAAGTCCCTGTACAAGACCATCACCTTTTGTAATTAATTTTCCATATACGATAATATCACGACCTTCACGATGGCATTGTAAACATTTCCATACTTCATTATCTAAATCTTTATTATATGAACATCGTTTATCACATTGATGAGGAATATTTTCCTTTTGATGATTGGCAGTCATTGAGCATTTACTTCTTCAAGATAAAAAGAAACAATAAATACAAAAAGTTTAAATCAGTTGAAAGTACTTACCCACAAGATAAACATTTAATACAACATGCAAAAAAGTCATCTGGTAGCGTGGACGGCATTTCTGGAGGAATGGCATGATTGAATTTTTCATTCAAAGCCTACATATATATAAAACCAAATATTTAAAATCACAATAATAAATCTTCTTACTTGTAAAGCTTTGAAAATTGTGGATAATCTTCGAGGCGAACGAATCTTATTGTTTTCAAGTGTCGATGTTATTGTTGCTTTTATTTCACTAAAATCAGTTTGTTTTCCACCAACACTTTGAATTCCAACATACTCAATCGAACTAAATCAATAATTATATTTCAACATCATTCATTCATCTCTTTTACAAATTATAACAAACCTATATGCATCATATGATAGTTTCATCTTTTCAAATCGTTCTTTTAGTTGTTCCACAGCTGTCTTTTGACATTGAAAATGACCTAAACAATATTTATTTCCACAATTCATATACAAAAGATATTCTTAACAAACCTCTCAACACTTCAGTATGATTTGTTTCATGAAAGACAATTAATGTTGGTCCCATCGTTGACATTGGTCCATCAACATTACAGCTTTTCATGACATTTTCTAGTTCTTTTCGAAAATATTTGTGAAATGCATTTGATGCATCAGATAAAAACTGAAACATATCATTAGGTAGTTTGGCTGCTCGTGTTCGAAATATAACAATATCACTGATGCATAAGATCTTGAGTAACAATCGATTACGAATATTATCATTTTGTGATAGACCAAGTCGACCTTCAGTATCAAGAACAAGTGTTCGATGATTTTCATCTAATGCTGACCATACACCCATTGTACATGAGTCTGATGTTGATGATGTGTCGAATTTTTCTTCGCCATTAAAAAAGACTTGATTTAATGTATATGATTTTCCATCGCCAGTATTTCCAATAATAGAAACACATTTGACAAGTGGATCAGGCGAAGGTGATTGTAGTTGTGAAATAAAATCTTCTTTATTGTTAACCTGTAAGAGAAGAAGAAGATGAAATAATAAGAATAGAAAAGGTAGTTTACAGTGAGATGTTCATTAGCATCGAGTAATAGAAAAACACCATTTGAATCAGCGTTCGGTTGCAATTTCTGCGATTGACGATGGGTTTTTTTGGTAGTACGTTTATTATCAATTTGATCCTCATCGTCATTGTCTATCATTGAATCAAGTAACATCTGTTGATTAAGACTATGTTGTGTTGGAACTTGATTCAAATTATTGTTATGGTGATTAGTTGTAGAATGTGAAATTTTTGTTTTTGTTGATTGTTCTTTTCGGATGGGTGGTGAATAGGTATTGTCATCGCTACTGTCAACTTTAACATCTTCGAACGAAGATCCTGATTGTTTAGGAGTTGAGTTTCGTACATGTGCTTTCTTATGATTACCATTCGAAACTGAATTTATTTTAATTGGTTTTGTTTCAGTTCGATACTGTTCACTAGAAAGAAAACAAGTCGTCATTCGCACGTAGAGATATGAGAAAGATTAATCTGTGCAATTTACTTATTCTTTTTCGTCGTTATTATTGGTTCTTCTCGACATTTTTGTGGTCGATGTGTTTTTGCATCAAGATGTTGATGTTGATCTTCATAACATCCATAACAAAATGATAATGCACAAGTTGGACAATAAAAGACTGCCTGATGTTGTCTATCAACTGAACAATGTTCATCATCAATTTCATCTAAATTCAATCGTTCATGTTGTTTAGTATCGGAATTGTTATGAACTTCTTTTTCACATAAAATGCATTGTAATGAACGACATTGTGTACAATAAAATGTTGCTTTCGATGACATCTCTGCTTCACATGCTAACCGTTCCATACATGTTAAATATGGTGTATTATCAATAACACCTTTTCCCGATGATAAATGACTCATTGGCGAGAGAGGAAAGTTTTCGTTATTATTAAATTGATAATTGCATGAAGATACTGTTTCACCTACTTGCATGTCAAATGACTGGATATTCTTTTACGTAAGTTAAAATCTTTTTTTATTGTGTATATCAGGTGTAAGAAATGTGACTCATCTATTCATCCAATAGAAATTTAACATGATGTTGTTTATACTAAATTAATTTAGATATCAATTTATCATTAGATGAAAATATTTGATTTTATCGTTATTTTAATCATATAATTCGATTTTCATAAGTAGATGTCATTCAAAATCAAAAAAAGGATGTCGCTAATTGTAGATAACTACTTTGATTATTTTATTTATAGTATTAAAAGAATAGTTCTTTATCAAACAGATATATATATATCTTTTCTTATCATGATTATATTATAAAATAAAATAAATTAATCGTACATATTATAATAAAAAAAAATTGAAAAAATGCGTTTATAACGTAAAAGAATGAGTTTAGTTTTATTTACATAATACGAGAAAAATGACTTGTCATACATATATATATGTATATATATGCTTGATTACTTGAATTCACTGTTTTGATCTATTCATTCATTGTTTTATCACATGATTTACATATACGTTCTGGTGTTAACCAGTCTCGTTCAGGAATAGCACGTTTATTTGGTGAACACATATCACAGACACCTTCACCACATTTTCGACTACAATATAGACACACAAGAACATTTATTGTCATTCAATAATAGTTAAAACAACATACCAATGATGTAATCGATATGTGGTATTGTCAAATTCATGTTGACAAATAAAACAAGCACAACATTCACTATCTCGTCGCCAATAATTTGGTCGTGTACTTTCTTTAATTGGTTCTATATACGCATACAAAAACAAGATTTAATTTTCTATTTTCATATTAGCAAAAGCTTCTTATTTATATTTACCAACAAGATAATTATAAATGACTGATCCAACATTATCCTTGAAAAGTTCTAGAAAACGTCTTGACATTGGAATGTTATGTACATTTGGACCTGTTAAGTATAAAAAACCATATCAAATCTATAAATATTAATGAAATACTGACTTGTAACATCACTAGTATTACTAGCTCCATAATCGATAGAAGGTGTTTGTTGTGTATTTAGATGATTGTTTTGAAATATTGATGAAAGTGTTTGTGATTGTAATTCATGATAACAATTATCACATACACGTTCAGCTTTTTTAGTATCAAGCAATGGAACAATTGCACGATTTTTTGTACATGTATCACAGAAAATATGTCCACATGCTATACAAAAGTAATATATTCATTTTATTAGATTAGAATTCAATCGTATGTGATGGTATGATAATGTTATCATTAGGATCATCAAACAGAAGATAACGTTTCTGTTTTCTAACCTTCATCGTCATAACTACACTCAAAACTTCACTATAAAAGTACATATTCAAGAATCTTGAGCTATTCTCATAAATAGTTCAACCGAAATCAGTAAACTTCATCACTATACTAATAAGATGAATATAATCAAATTTCATGTAACAAACCTCGGCAATGATGTTTAGAATAATTTGAACCAAATTGAAGTTTACATGAAGAACATTCCTTTGATTCAAATGAAACATATTAAATTTATTATACGTAAAAGAACTTATATTTACTTGAACATCTTTATTTGGAATCCAATACGATGGCGCTATTTGGTCAGCTACTGTTTCTGTCAACACTTTCGTTGAACTGGATAAGTAGCTAAAATAATAGAATAGATAAATTTTTGCTCCGCTTTTAAGTTATCAAACAAACCTTCCTGCACTACTAATGGCTTCGATAATTTTTCTTGGTGTAACATCACTTCCTAATCGATTATGATCTTCTCCTGGCCAAACGTGAATAACTTCAACACGTGTCACATCTTTTGGTTCATTATTTCCATACCAATATTTTCTTGAACGATAGATTTCTCCATGATGTGAACATTCGATAATAAAACCCGACCAAACAGTTTTTACAATTCCTTGTACAAGATTATCATTTGCAGCTGTCAGTTTTGCATATACAATAGTATCACGACCTTCACGATGGCATTGTAAACATTTTAGTATTTCATTGTCTAGGCCTCTATTATATAAACATTGTTCTTCACATTGATGAGGAATATTTTCTTTCTGATGATTTGCAGCCATTGAACATTTAATTCTAATGATACAATAAAGAAAATAATAGACATCAAAAGTAGAAAACTACTAACCCACAGGATAAGCATTTAACACAACAAGTGAAAAAATCATCTGGTAAAGTAGATGGCATTTCTGGAGGAATGACATGATTGAATTTTTCATTCAAGGCCTACATACATATAAACACAAATGCTTAAAATGACGATGATAAATCTTCTTACTTGTAAAGCTTTGAAAATTGTGGACAATCTTCGAGGTGATCGAATTTTATTGTTTTCAAGTGTCGATGTTATTGTTGCTTTTATTTCACTAAAGTCAGTTTGTTTTCCACCAACACTTTGAATTCCAACATACTCAATCGAACTAAATTAACATTTACACATTAACATTATTCACTACTTTTACATATAACAACAAACCTATATGCATCATATGATAGTTTCATCTTTTCAAACCGTTCTTTGAGTTGTTCAACAGCTGTCTTTTGACATTGAAAATGACCTAAACAATGTTTATTTCCACAAGTCATATACTAAAGATATTCTCAACAAACCTCTCAGTACTTCAGTATGATTTGTTTCATGAAAGACAATTAATGTTGGTCCCATCGTTGACATTGGTCCATCAACATTACAGCTTTTCATGACATTTTCTAGTTCTTTTCGAAAATATTTGTGAAATGCATTTGATGCATCAGATAAAAACTGGAACATATCATTAGGTAGTTTGGCTGCTCGTGTTCGAAATATAACAATATCACTGATGCACAAGATTTTGAGTAACAATCGATTACGAATATTATCATTTTGTGATAGACCAAGTCGACCTTCAGTATCGAGAACAAGTGTTCGATGATTTTCATCTAATGCTGACCATACACCCATTGTACATGAGTCTGATGTTGATGATGTGTCGAATTTTTCTTCGCCATTAAAAAAGACTTGATTTAATGTATATGATTTTCCATCCCCAGTATTTCCAATAATAGAAACACATTTGACAAGTGGATCTGGTGAAGGTGATTGTAGTTGTGAAATAAAATCTTCTTTATTATTAACCTGTAAGAGAAGAAGAAGATGATGAAATAATAAGAATAGAAAAGGTAGTTTACAGTGAGATGTTCGTTAGCATCGAGTAATAAGAAAACACCATTTGATTTTGTATCTGATGGATTTTGCTGATGATCTGTATTAGATATTTGTTTTTCGAGATTTCTTTCTTGTTGTCGTCGTTGAGAAGTATTAGGTGTCAATATTTTTGATTGAGTCGACGTGTTGTATTGATTTGGCGAAATACTATCATGTTCATCTAGTTTAATATCTTCAAATAGAATGGCAGATGATGTTGAGCAGTTCGTATATTTATCAGAATCTGTATTATATGAGTTGGATGGTAAATCCGGATACATCGTATTTACTTTGTTATGATGTTCGGTACTAAATAGACAAATAGATTTGAATTATTAAGTCTGACTTATACCATTTTGAGTGTCTAAACCAGAAAATACAATTCTGAAAGATAGATATAGGATAGGAGAGAAAAACAAAATGAACATAAATGTATTGTTCTATAAATTAGGTGACTGATGAGAATAAATGAATGTGTAGCGTATGCTTGTCTTGTGTAGTTTTGATAAAACTTTATCAGTTTATAAATAAGTACTTTAAAAATTACAGAGTTGTATACAATAAAATATTGCTTTAGAAGTCATTTTAGTGTTACATAGATAATATTTTGTGCAAAGTAAAGCAAACATCTGGTACAAAAAAAATAATATAACAACTTAAAGATATAGAACAAAAATATAGAAAACGATTTGACTTGACTCAAAGAAACTTTCCATGTGATGCATTTATTTGACAAATAGAAATTTTGCTAAATAGTTCTTTTAAAAATCAACAATTTTTAATAATAAATTTATCAATCTATTGAAATATTGAACGTTTTGATATAAATTCGATTACCACCATTTCATTACGAATAGATGTCACTGAATACTTAAATATATCTCTATTGGTCGTCTGATTTATAATATCTATATCTATGTATATTATTTTAAACTAGAGAACTAGACAAAAAGAATATCGTTTAGTTGAGTTAATTGTTATAATGACCGATCAATATCTTGCATCATTAATTGATTCAACAAGAAGTATATCTTTTGATTCTGGTACACTTCTGACAAGTTCAGCTATAAATGCATTACATTTTCCTGGTCTTTCAACATCGGGAATATCTGATTCAGGTGGTAACCGTCGAGCAAGTCTTCTTCTCGATGGTATTGGCATGTGTGAATCAATGACTGAAAGTTTCTGTTCAACAGGTGGTCAAGATGATACAATGATAATTAACACTTCAAACATTCTTCAATCAGATTCATCTATGATAAATAATTTGAAACTTGAACGAAAAGATTCAACTGCACAAAGAAAACGACGTTCACGTAAATCACAATTCGATGCATCAGTAGATGGTACACCACTTGATAAAATCGAAACTGTTGCTTTAATTGATGAACAAAATGAACCCGATGATGTTTGGTAAATATATATTTATTATTTTTAAAAAACAAACATTTTGTTATTTAGGTTATTTGAAGTACCAAAGGATGGACAAAATAATGGTCAAACAACTGATAATATATTTTCTTGGGTACATAAAGAGTTTAAAACAAATGATATTAATGCCAGTAAACATCGTCTTCTTTGTAAACTTGATGATATGTCGCATGGTAACGAGAATAGAATTTTCATCAATAAAAATTTTTTTATTTTTCTTTCTTTAAGCACGAACAATAAGAAGTGTATCATGTCATAATTTTGCTGATAGTCAAAGATTGGATGCTGTAAAAAAAAGTTCAACTGAACAACAAGTTACTTCAGGTAGAATTGATTTCTATTAAATCTAAATCAAATATATAATTACGATTAAAAAACGTTAAGCAGTAATCGACTCGATATGAAATAGTAGTCGTAAGATGTCTAGCATGATATGATGAGCACGGTTTGAAAATAAAGAATGAGTTTTGGCAAGCATGTTCTTGGCTTTTATATTTCGCTTCATATTTTTATTTATAGAACCCGTTAAAACTGGTCGATTAAGTTCACCAATACGTATATTAAATATGAATCCACGACCAACATTATCTGTTAATTTATCACCACTCCAACCTGTTATTACAATTGCAAATGCAAGTGAAAATAATCATACTGTAAAATCAAGAGAAGTTTCAAGAGAACGAGAAAAAGAACCACCAATGGATTATACAGATCTTGAAGGTAACGTTGGAGTTTTATGTCTTCCTTCTGTTTACCAAATAAAATTATTTTTTACTTAATTTTTAGTTATGGCTAAATTACAACTGGAAAGTAAGTACTATTTTACATTGATAATACTAACTATATTCCTATTTTATATTTAGATTTACGTCAAGCAGAACAACAAGGTCCATTATCTAAACGTTTTGGTATGTTAGTTTATCATTTTATTTCGATACATATTATTCATTCTATCAATTCTAAAAATTTTCTCTTTAATTCAGTGAAAAAAGGAATTGTTATACGATGCATAGTTTATTGAGTACAGATTTATTCATCAAAATCAATCAGTCATTATCGATGGTATTTACTTTTGTATGATCATAATCAAAAGCATGAATGTATTTCTACTGCTTTGGCAATATCTTGCATATCCTTCGTGTTATCTAATACTGACAATCTATCTCAGGTTCATTATGACACATTAATCTACCTATTCGTTGTCGCGCCATTCACTCCTTTTGCATATTAATGCTTCACTAAAACTCCTTGACTACATATTTTCTTGTTTACTCTAAAAATTTAATTGCTATTGTTTTATATACATATATTTGTAGGCGGTTCTAATGTTTCCCTTGCATCAACAGGCAGCGGTACAAGTGTATCTATCTCAAGTAAGTTTTATTTAATATTTATTTATTTAACAAAAGAAAAAGTCATATGATTTCATGAGAGAAAAAAACAGTAAAAGTTAGTCACTTTTAAAAATACATTCATTGACAACTCGAATATTCTGCATAGTATTCATTCGTATGTTTAACGTCAGTAGACAAACCATAAGCTAAATTATCATAAGCATATAAACATTTATCTGTTCGAAAATTTGAAGAAGATTTTCTTCTTGAATCATAAGAAGATTTTTGTTTTTGGTGATAATAATAATTAGCTAAAATGAAATATTTCGTTTTAATGATGATCAGAATTTTGGTAAAACATACGTTTTAGTATTTTCTTTATATATTTTGAATCAAGCTTTGTATTTTGTTTATTCATATTTGAAGAAAATAAATCAATAAGAAATAAATATACGTCAGGAATACTTAATAATAATCGTCATACTAATACGTTATAGAAAGGTATAAATGACGAGAGAAAAAAAGAGAGAAAAGCAGAAGGAGAAAAAGAAATATTTTTTTTATGTGAAAAGAACAAAAAAGCAAAGAAAAATATGATTTTAAAGTTATCCGTCTTTATCAATTTTTTGTCTTTCAAGTTATACCTTATTTCATAATTATTGTTAAACAAAACAAATCGGTCATACAGGTCAAGTATAATTTATTTTCAATTGAATGTTCTAATTGTCATTCTCTATGCTTTTGCTTTTGACTATATGTGTATATTCGTGTGAGTTTGATCATTATGTAAATATTGTCTACCCACAACAATAATTACTCTATTCTTTTATTAATAAAAATGATCATCATTATCATTTTTTTTCTATTAGATCGAACAGGAACTAAACCACCGGTTGCACCAAAACCTACGATAACGAAGTTTGTATTATTTTGTTTCTTATCGATCTTATATTACAGAGATATACTTTTTTTTACATAGAAATGGTGTTAAATTAAGTCAATATTCTCGATCGAATACACAAACGATTACAACGAATAAATCTAATGAATATGATGTCCCAGTTATTACTGAACCCAAATTATTATCAGCACGTGCTAGTGTTTTACCACCAAATTCAGCTAATAATAATCGTACACGTCCACCGATAGCTCGACCAATTCAAGCATATCGTGGTTCACAAACATCTTATATAAATAATGTTAAAGTTCAAAATGCATCAACATCTGTTCAAAGAAATGGTAGAAAACCAATTACTGATTT